TGCTAGGACTATAGGCATGCACCACCACACCCAACTCTGATTTTATTTATTTATTCATTTATTTTCCGGTACCGGGGATTGAACTCAGGACCTCGTACTTATCAGGCAAGCACAGCACCACTGAGCTACAGCCCCAGCCCTGATTTTATTTTTTAATCTGGCTGTCGTACTTCCTTTAGGGAGTGGTGCTGGGGATAGAATCCAGGGTCCTAAGCACACTAAGCAAATGCTCTACCAGTGAGCTGTGCTCCTGCCCTACCATGCTTTTAATTATCAGATGCTAGATCTTACTTTGTTCATTATTCAAAGCTTACCCCATTATTTTATATTTATTTATTTGTTTGTTTGTTTATTTATTTATTTATTTTGGTACCAGGGATTGAACTCAGGACCTTGCACTTGTGAGGCATTCGGTGGAACCACTGAGCTAAATCCCCGGCGCAGGTGTGTTCTTTCTTTACATCCGTTCTCCCTTACCTTGAAGTAAGTAAGGCTAGTGAATGGCATTTTTTTCTTTTTCTATTTCTCGGGCTGGGAGCCAACCCAGGGCCTTAAGCATGCTAAGTGCGCACTCTGCCTCTGAGCCGATCCTCGCCCATCATTCCCTGTAGAGATGGAGAAACAGAGGCCCTGACAGGCGGAGCTGCTGGCCAGCGGCTGGGGTCCACTTCAGTGGAGAGAGCTCAGCTGAGAAGAGTGGAGGCATGGACCTTAGCAGAGGGAGAGCCGATAGGGCCCCGGGGGAATCAGCTCAGGGACGCCCCCAGGAGAATATGGGCGGCTCCTCAAGAGAGTTTGCTGCAGGGATCATCTACGCTGTCTGAAAAGTTTCAACCCAGCCTGCCAGGCTCAGGCATCGCCTCTGCCTTCCAGATGTCTGATCAGGAGCTTGGATTACAGACATATGCCATCATGGCCAGGTCAATTTTGTTTTTAATGGAAGAATGATCAAATGTATGAATCCTTTGGCTCTTTCCTCTGGAAAACTCGCTGTGTTTGCAGGACATGGTCCCTGCCTTTTCCCCACATTTACTGAGGTCCTTCCTTTTTCCTTCCCTCCCACCCCATTCCTTTCTTCCTTTTTGTGGTACTGGGGATGAATTTTTCATCGTATCACACTTAGGAATTAGCAAATCTAGGTTTGTAATATTTAATTCTACACTCACCACACATACCTACACAATTAGCTTTGTTTTGTTTTAGCAACACTAGGATTGAATCCAGAGCCTTCATACCGAACTACACCCCAAGCCCTATTTTCATTTTTTACTTTGCAACAGGGACTTGCTAAGTTACCCACGCTAGGCTTGAACTTGCAATCCTCTTGCCTCAACTTCCCAGAGTGCTCCTATATAATTGGTTTTTTTCTTTTAAAATTTTTCTCTTTCTTTCTTTTCTTTCTCTCTCTCTCTTTCTTTTCTTTTTTTCTTTTTTTTGATACCAGGGATTGAACTCAGGAGGCAGGCGGCAGCACCACTGAGCTAAATCCCCGGCCAGCCTTTCTTTTTTTGAGACAAAGTCTCACTGTGTTACCCAGGTTGGTCCCAAACTCCTAGGCCTAAACAGTCCTCCTGTCTGGGTCTCTTAAATAGCTAGCTGGGACTTTAAGTGACTGGTCATCATACTCAGCTACACAAATAGTTTCTGTGACTATTTGATTGGTCTCATTTCCGCACTAGACTGGAGGCCATAACTTATAGGTGGCCCTGACCTAGTATAAGTGTGTCACTTAGTTGTACCAGGCAGCAGCCAGGTCGGTGGAAGCCCTGGTGACTCAAGCCCAAGTCTCCTCTGAGGCCACAAGTGCCCTTCCTCCACAAGCAGAAATGATGCAGAGGCGACTTCTAGTGACCAAAGGGGGAACTGCAGTTGCACACTCCCAGCACAGTGGGGACCGACATAGTCCTTGCTGCCTGGCAGGCATTCCACAAGGACAGTTATGCCTTGGATTTGTCATCTTTACATCTACAAGCTGGGCACCCTCACCACCACTTTATGCCCGAAGACAAGGAGGCTCCACGAAGGGCAAAAATTCCTTGAGCTCTCATGGTGTAAAAGGCCTCACTGGGTCTCAATCCGGGTCTGTCTGAGGCCGGAGATTTTGTCCACTAGGCCCCAGTTAGCCCTAGACCAGGGCCCCTCCCAGGCCTGATGACTCACAATCTGTAGCCTAAGGTGGTCTGTAAAGAAGCACTCCGACTTCCAGGAGGTAGTGGGAAAATCCTGCCCTGTGCTCCTGTGAAAAGAAATTGAATTTTCACATTTCTTTATAAATATGGCCTTTGGTCATAAAGCACTTCTGTGATTTTACAAGTACTTTTATTCCTTTTCTTTCTCTTTTTTCTTTCTTTTCAGTACTGGGAATGGAACTCAGGGAGAACTGAGCTACACTTCAGTCCTTTAAAAAATGTTTATTTTGACCCTGAGCATGGTGGTACATGTCCATAACCCCAGCACTCTGGGAGACTGAGGCAGGAGGAGTACAAGTTTGAGCCTAGCCTGGGCAAATTTGTGACTTATCAAGACCTTGACTTAAATTTTTTTCTTAAAAGGGCTGAGGATGTAGCTCAGTACAAAGACCCTAGGTTCAATCCCCAGTACCAGAAAAAAGGTTTTACTTTGAGACAGGGTCTTGTTAATTTGCTGTGCTTCAAATTTGAGATCTTCCTGTCTCAGGCTCCTGAGTAGCTGGGATTACAAGTGTGCACCACCATGCCTGGCTAAAGTACTTTCTTTACATTGACCTCTCTTTACCCTGTAAGGTAAATAAGGTCAGTGGTCATCATTCCTATTTTATTTTATTTTTTTATTTTTTTGGTACCAGAGATCGAACTCGGAACCTTGCCCTTGCAAGCCATGCGGCGGAACCACTGAGCTAAATCCCTGGGCCAAATCATTCCTATTTTAGAGAAAGAGGCCTGGAGAGGTGAAGCCACTTGCTCAGAGCCACTAGGCAGCAGGCTCTTCTTGATCTGGACTGGCTGGAAGAACACCCAAGGGTTCCAAGTCTGATGTTGGTGCTCATGTCATAGCAGGTTCCTGTGGTTTCCTTCTGGGTCAGAGGTCATTAGGTTGGTGAGAGTGCCCTCTGCTCACTTGGTTATTGGTGCATAGTAAGAGTAATTGCTAGCTCCACTCCGGTGACCAGTGTGACTGACCTGGGCAAACTATTTACCCTCTCCTCGCCTGGGCTTCTTTGGACTTGTGAGGCGCAGATAAGGATGAAGCAAGTGAAGCAATGGCACAGTGTTAAGAACTCAGCACAAGCTGCTATTCATTCCTTCATCTGCCCAACCACAGAGCTCCCAGGCCCCATGTGCCACACTGAGCTGAGATGCCCGCTGGACAAGGAAGACACGCTCTGGCCCCATGTAGCTTACAGTCCAATAGGGAGACAGACATTGATCAAGAGCTCACAAGTGTGGGGAAAGTTAAGATGGGGGTGACTTGAGTACAGTGTAGGAATGGCTAAGTCTGGTTGCCTGCTCTAGAGTTCATCTTTGGCATAGGTGTGATCTTTCCTTCCCTCAGGGTGAAAGGGAAAGCCAACCTGTTCCTCCAGCCAGCCATGAACCTTGGCCCAAAGCTGCCCTAATCTGGTGGCCCTTCCTGTGTTTCCTCCTTGAGGGGGAGGGGAGAGACTCCTTCCCACCCTCATTGAGTGTGAGTAGAAGGGAGAGTGTGATGAGAGAGATGGCTGGATATGACCCTAAGGGGGAGCCATACAAGTTAGGGGCCCAGGACTCTAGTTAATCACCTCTGCAGCTCTCCTATAGCCAGGTAATGCTCCACCTACACTGGCCACCTTTTCAGTTTCTTAGGCCACATTCCTCCTACTGCACTTTTTTTCTTTTTTGAGGCAAGAGTCTTACCAAGTAGGCCAGGCTGGCCTTGAACTTTGGATCCTCCTGCCTGAGTACTGGGATTCCAGGCCACCACACCTAACTCACCACAGGGCCTTTACATATGCAGTTCACACTGCCTGGAAAGGTCTTCCCACTGCTCTGCATTTAGTTAATTCCTGCTCATCATTCAGGGGCCAGGTCAAACATTACCTCCTCCAGGAAGCCTTCCTGGACTCCCAGACAAGTTTGATGGTCCCTGCTGAAGTCTGGCTCTGAATGTCCCCCTAGGCCCATGTGCTGATGGCTGGATCCCCAGCCTGTGGAGCTTAAGGTGTGGAAACTTTAAGAGGTAGGGTCCACTTGGAAGAAGTTAGGTCATTGCGAGTAAGCCATTAAAGGAGACATGGGGATGCTGGCCCCTACCTATCTCTTACTCTCAGCTGCCATGAAGTGCACAGGCCCCCTGGGCCATGTGCACTCACCATAGTGCACTGTGCTGCTACAGGCCCAAGGCAACAGGGCCACACAAACTCCTGCTACCGTGAACCAAAATAGACCTTCCCTCCTTCGATTATTTTGGCTGTTTTGTTCCAGAAGTAGAAGGCTAACAACCCCAAAAGGACACCCTCTTTTCCCTTCTTTTCTTGGGATTCACCATAGCCTACAAGTGTACGTGTGTAACTGCTTGCTTGTCATCAGTCTTCCCAGAAGACTGAGACCACAGAAGGGTTTGTTCTGCTGAGGATTCTTGCCAGCACTAAGCATGGTGAGCAGCTCTGTCACCAGGACAGGGGAATACATGTCCCAGAAAAAATGGGGTGGGTGCTTAGGCGTTGGGTGCTCACTCCAGATTTGGGGCCATGGAGGGACATGTAGCTCGAGGCCACAGAGGTGCAGGAAGGACAGTGAGGGCTGGAGTCAGGGCAAGGGTACTAGGACTGGAGACAGAGTTACATCCCCAAGGCAGTGGGGAAGGACTGGAGGACATGGAAGAAAAGGGAGTTCAGAGCCACTCGTGGGCCTCTGCTTGGTGCTTGGTGCCTCACATAGTACAGGTGTCACAGGTGAGTGCCATCTGCACATTCCACCCCAACCTCCCTCCCTCCTGTCCACAGCCTGGGTGCTGTGCCCAGCATCAGACACAGGACACAGCTCAGCAGCATGAGCCCCCTTTATTAACCATCTTCCCATCTCTGAGTGTGCATGGGTAGAAAAGAAATACCCCGATAGGGAGGGGCGGGGAGAGGGCAGGAAGGGACCCCTGAGGTCTGGCTCAGAGGCTGGAGTCCAGCTCCTTTCCTGGACCAGCCCACCTCTGCGACCCGGCCTCACCCGCGCCCCCTCCAACGTGACACTGGAGGCTGTGCAGCTGTGGACCACGCAGCACCTTCCTAGTCTTGCAGGGCCTGGTGCTGTGCAGGAGGCTAAGAGAGGACAGCAGAGGGGCCCTGGCCTGGGTGCAGGGAAGAACAGGCACCAGGAGGGGATGTGGGAAAAGGCACCCACCTGCCTCTACTTCTTAGGTCTGACTGCCCTGACTGGTAGGCTGCTGCCTGGGTGTGGGGGCTCTCATTCCCAGACGGAAGGTTGAGGTAGGAGGGGCCTAGGAAATGCTGGGGTTACCTGGAAGAAGCCTGATTCTGAACCTGGGAATTATCAAAGTGAGTGGGGCAGAGGAGGGGTCAAATGGGAACATGAAGCGAGAGAACAGTGAACCTCCCATCCTATGGGTCAACAATCCAGGGGTGACCTCAATGTGACTGACAGGATGCTGAGGCCAGGCCTGACAGAGGCAGAGCTGAGGAAGCTGATGAGAGGTCTTCCCCGACCTTTAAATAATAAAAACCTTGAACTACACAGAGAAATGGGATAGGGGTGAAGAAGGGAGGGAGCAGCCATTATCCAGGTTGGAAGGGGAAATTTCCAGGCTGTCAAAGCAACCCAGCTGTCCTCCCTCTCTGGGTTGGCTGGGGAGGGGGAAGAGCAGTGGCAGAGAGAAGCAATCGCTGAAAAAGATGTGTGACGTTCACCTGGATTCAGGCCAGCCCAGCCCTCGTGGAGGCTCTGAAAGGTTCCCGGCCTCCTCTATCACCCACCCTTGGGCCTCTGAAAATCTGAGAGAAAAGCAGACTCCCCTCTGCCCATGCGGAAAGCAACAGAGGAGTATTCAGCACCACGGCACGAGCACCCCTGGCTGCAGAGCTGGGCAGGCACCATTTGTAAACATTAGACTTGGTGATGTCTGAGGATGTAAGGGACCCAACCTGGACTCTCAGGTTTGGGAAAGAGGCAGGATGGGGTCCCTAGGACTTAAGGAATGTCAACCAGCCACAGGAAAGAGGCTACCAGACTCACTGTGGGGCCAGGAGGGAGTGGACAAGGCTGCATCTACCTGTCTGAGCATTTGTATGACTGCAGTGCTACCTCTGAGAGCTGCCAGACCCCAGAAGAGGCCACTACTGACCATGGCTGCTGATGGACTGGAGCTGGCACTGAGCCCTGGGGTACCAAGCACAGCCCCTATGCAGGACAGGCTGTTCTGGGGAAGATGCTGGACCTTTTGACACGGTGTTTTCTCTCTCTTTTTTTTTTTTTTTGAGCAAGGGTCTCACTATATATTTCAGGCTGACCCTGAACTCACTATGTAGCCTTAGCTGGCCTTGAACTTGAGGTGATCCTCTTGGCTCAGCCTCCTGAGTGCTGGGATTCAGGCATGTGCCACCAAGCCTGACCTGGGACTGTCGTCACCCATGGGCTCCAGGCATGGAGAAATGGAGAGTTGGAAAGTGAAGTTCCTTTATGACACAAGATGTTCTGCCACCATCCATGGCACTGCCAGGGCTGGCAGAAAGCTGGGTCTGAGCAGTCCACAGGTGTGGGGCTGACACTGCTCCAGCACTGCCCTTGGAAGATGTGCGGGGGTCATCCCACCAGCTGGAATGATGTTGGCCTTTGGGTGGGCCCATTGCTGTAAGACACGTTCCTGGGTCCAATGGCCAAGGCCATGTGCTTCTTTTGAGGCAGTGGTTATCCCAAGAGATCCACAAAGATGGCGTTGGCTGTAGTCTGGCCGAAGATGAAGGCTCCCAGAGTGACCAAGAGAACTCCATAACTGACCAATGCCCACCAGCTGCAGGGTAGGGGATGAGAAGGGCCTGATCAGTCATCCTGTCAGTGACTGCAGACTTATGTACCTATATACACACACCCATATATACACATATGTACACTTCAGTTAAACCCCATAACCACTTATAGTATTGCAGTTGGTAGAGCACTTCAGACTTCCCAATAACTTTTTCATAAAAAGGCATGAGGCCAGTTGTATTACCCTAGTGCACAGGCAAGGAGACTAAGAGCTGATGGGATGAACTGACTGTTCACAGCTTGCCTAGTGAAGGGCCAGGGTTAGAGTTCAGATATTCTGCTGGGACGACGGTTAGGAGAAAACAGGTGGCTTGCAGTGTGATCCATTTCATTAAAAAAGAGGCAAAAGGCAAACATCTGGCCTTGGGATGTAGCTCAGTAGTAGAGCACTTGCCTAGCTTATGTGAGGCCCTGGGTTTAATCCCTAATACCGGAAAGAAAAACAAAGCAAACACCTGCAAACATATGTGTCAAAAACAGCAACAGGATTATATCACTTGGTATTGAGATTATTTTTATTTTCTTCTTTATACGTCTGTAGTATGTTTTAAAGTTTGTGTTTTTGTTTGTTTTGCTTTGTTTCCGAGACAAGGTCTGGCTATGTAGCTCAGGCTAGCTTCAAACTAGTGATACTCCTGCCTCAGCTTCCTGAGTGCTGGGATTATATGCATGCACCACCATGCCTGCTGTATATTTAAATTTTTTTCTTTAATAAAAAAGTAGTATTACAGAATAGTTGTTCTTAAATCATGTAACCTTTTTTCAATCTCTACTACTCAGGGAAATGTGCACATTAAAGCAGTGTGATGTTTTTTCATCCCCTAGCCCTAGTCTAAGTTGTCTGTAGCAGACATCCCTGCCCAGTACTAGCTATGAATGGCACCTGCTTCTTGCTTTCCCTAATTCAGCTATATTGTTTTATATCAGGAGTCAGACCAAAGCTCTTCGTGACTCAAATGAGCACATCAGCTGGTGGACTGGGCGACTATAGGCCCTCCCTCAATCGCTGCCACGGAAACCTAGGCCCTGGTCTGTGAAGTGGCAGGGCTCTGCTGAGTTGCATGCAGCTGAGGTCAGTGCGGCCCCAATTAAAACCCTTTCCCCTGAATCATGGCTTCTCACTGACCTGATGGGTTGCTCGCTAATTGCACCTGGTCCCAGTACCTGTTTGTTCTATCCAAGCAAGATAAGTAGTGCTTCCTCCCTAACAGCCCTGCCTGGCACCATCATGCCAGGTGTTCGGCAGTATTTCACCAGATGCCTTCAAAGCATACCCTACTCCTTATTCCTTCCCACGACTGTATTCAATAAATACTGGATGCGCTTGGGGGCCTTTGTCTTTGCTGCCATCAGCAGCACTGACCAGGACCTAAGACCCAGCTTTACCATTCTAAGTCTCCTTTCCCTCTGCTCTTGAATTTGCCTCGTGCTCTCGTGGCTCACAGGCCAGCACCCACGACAGAGGTCTTGGTAAAGTCCCCTTCCCCGTTCCCTACAATTTCCCAGGCTGGGCTTGAAGTTGCAATCCTCACACCTCAGCCTTCTGAGAAGCTGGGATTACAGGCACGTGTCACTGCAAGTCCCATGATTCTTGCAATACTAAGGGACTGAACCCAGCACCTCTGTACTGAGGTACATTCCAGGCTCTTTCTTCGTTCTTTCAGACCGCTCTTGCTAAGTCACTAAGTTGCCCGGGTTGGGCTGGAACTTGGGATCTTCTTGCTTCAGCCTCCTAGAATTCTAGGATTACAGGTGTGCACCGCCAGGCCTAGCTAAGTACACAAATCTCTTGAGTCCTACTTTAGGTCCCCACCAGTTTCCCCATGCCCACCTCCCTGAGAGGACCTTCAGCACTGGCCCTGCTTTACCTGGCTGGTTTCACCTCTTCCATCTCAGAGAGTTTGGCTTGAATGAGGCACAGCCCTGGAAGAGAAGTAGCCCTGTGTTTGTAGGGTGGGGGCTCCCTCCCTCTGCCCAGCCCCCCCCCGCCATCCCGACTAAGAGGCAATGTTGATGGTTGAGAAAGGTCTACGTTTACTCCTCCAGAGAGTCCCTGCCTCACTCTCCATGGAGCTGGAGACCTGGGCTCTGCTCTCCCAGCACAGGCCAACATCTGGCAGGCACCCTTCGGCTGCACGTGAGATTCACAGCAGAGGGGACAGTACTCAATGTGACTCAGTGGTGGCTCACACCCCCAGGGTCCTTCCCAGCGCACTCCTGGACTGATGTGGCTCCCTTGATCCCAGCCGAGTGGGAAGGGCTTTCAAAGAGGACTCCGGACAGAATATGGGTGAACTTGTGGCAGATAGGGCAGGTCAGTTTCCCGAGGATCTGCAGTAGGGCTGTGCCTAGGGCTCAGGTCTCCTGACTTCTGTGTCCCCCTTTCCCTCTGGGCTGTACTGGGTGGAACCCAGTATCTATCTACTGCTGAGTTCGAGATGCAGGTGGCCACTTTCCTGGGCAGGTTCCGAGCCAGTGGGGAGCGGAGGGCAGGGAGGCCTCGGGAGTCCATGCTACAGGGCTATAGATCAGGGGCACCAGGCTCTGCACCTGGGAAGATGAAGATGAAGCAGGCAGCCAGGCCTCCGATGACTGCGATGACCTTGCCGATGTCAGGGATGAAGAGCGCCAGCAGCAGGGTGAGCAGGAACCACACCAGCGTCTGCAGCACTCGTCGCCGCCGCTCCCGCCCCACGTCCTCCTCCACTGGCATCCCCTGGTAGCGCAGCCACAGGCCTTCGACCACCGCCCTGCCCACAAGAGGAGGGGCTCAGAGGTGCCCTAATGACACCTCCACCTCGAGCTCACAGCAGCCAGACCCCACATGGGGCAGATCGTGGGTAAGGCCCTGATTCCTGAGCCTCAGTTTCTTCTGCAACAGAAGAGCACTGCCCTTGGTGCTGTGGAGATGAGATGGTGGATGCAAAGGGCTCAGTGGTCTGCTTCATCTTGTGGGAACCAGCACTGTTAATCTTCAAAAGGAACTGTTCTGGGTTTCTAAGAGGCCAGGAGTCCATGTGACAGCTCAGGAAAGGATCTGGACTAGATTCTTGGAGAACAGACTGCTCAGGACAAAGGTACCCCCCGAGACCCAGCTTGGAGTATGCGAGGGGGCCATCCTGGGCACGGACTCTTCTATGGGCTTCAGTTTCTTCCCAGTGGGTTTCACAGAAGCCCAAGGGCCATGCTGAAGGGCGCACAGGGGCTTTGTGTATGTGGGGAGGAGCCTCACCGTCCACAGAAGTGCAGGATGGGGTAAGAGGTGAGCACACTCAGGATGATGAAGGCTCGGGCCACAGCCACTGCTACGTCCTCTGAGGGATAGGACAGGAGCACGTCGGGGTCCACAGCAGCTCCAAAGGTCAGGAACCCACAGATGCCTGTGGCCAGGGACAAGGGGGCCAGGTCAGGCAACCCTGGGACCCTGGGAAGGGGGTGGACTGCTAACTCCTGCTGGGTACAACATCAGCAGGGGAGGATGCTGAGCAGCTCTTGAGGCTTGGACTGAGCCTCAGGCGGAGTCGAGCTGGGAGCAGTGGCCTCTGCACAGCCTTCTCAGATGCCCCCTTGCTGGAAGCCCTCTTGACCCCGAACTGCTGCCTTTTTGAACTTGACCTTGGCCCTCACATTGCTGTCTCAGAATTTCTACACTAACTCTTCCATCTGCTCTGATCTTCATGCTGCCATCTCACTGTTCAGGTCTTGGGTCAGATGTCCCCTCCTCAGACACCCTGCCTTGACAATCCAACGTTATCCCAGCACTCGCTCATCAAAGACTTTTATTCCCTTCAGAGCATGCATCTCTCTCTGAATTGCCTTTAAAACTGGTGTAATCTCTGCCTCCCCAGGCAGAGCATGCGCTTCAGAACAGGGCCTTGGCCCATCTGCCTCTCACACTCCAAGCTGTGGCTTCAGGGGCAGGAACAGAACCAGTCCAGGTGGTTCAGGTGCCCCTTCCCGGGCTCCTAGTCCTGCCCCCTCCCATCCAAACCATTCCACACAGCAGCCAGAGTCCTCTTTTCCCAAGCCATACTCCCTGCTTAAAATGGTTCCTCTCAGGATACCAACAGCAGCTGGCTCCTCCTGTCACCTGCCTGGGCTGCCACCTGCCCCCAACTCCCTGCTACACAGCTACACAGACCTCCTGTCCCTGCCTCAGAAGCTTGGCATTTTGCAGTTTCTTGTCTGTGACACTCCTCCCCTGCTTGGTATATTCTGGCTCTCTCATCATCCCTCTGCCTTCTCCAATGCCACCTATTTGGAGAGGAGCCTTCTGTGAAAGCCACCCCCATCCAGTCCCACCCACCCCTTCCTGGTTTCACTGCCATGATGGCACCTGCCACTGTCTGGAAGTTATCGCTGATTCCTTTTTCTCTCTTGTACAACTGTCTCTTCAATGAGACTGTCACCCCCATAGGGGCAGGGCAAGGCCCATCCGTCTCCATGGCATCCCCACACTGAGAACAGCTCTTGGTGTTTACTAGGCACCCATTCAGAACTGACGAATGAATGGATAGACACACCTCTTCCATCTTGGCAGAGGCAGCCCCAGGCAGCCCCAGTTCAAGCCAATGTCTACAGATCCTATTGGGAATGCAGGGCTGTCCCCAGCAGAGGTGGGCCCAAGGATTTGAGGACTCTGTGGGTGGGGTGTGAGACACTCTATACCTGGCCCTGGGAGGGGAGCACTCACCTGTGCCCATGTAGACAGCCAGGGCTATGACCATGGCAGCGGTCACCACCCCGCCCCAGGTCTTCACCTCAGGCTGCTGCATGCTGTTGAAGACGGGCACACTGCTCACGTGGCACTGTCCGGGTGAAGAGCACGGTCATGGTGGGAAAGTGACCTCACCCCCAGTTTCCAGAGGGAGGGACCTTGGGGACAGAGGCTGCAGGGACAAGGGGCAAGCTCTGGGGACCCCGCTTTATCCTTCCTCCCAGGACTCCCCCATCCTGCCCGTAATATGGGTTCTATCCCAGGGTGGAGATGAGCTGAGGGGACACCAGGACTTTGCAGCTGGCACCTGAAATCCAAAGCAGATGGTGGGCATGGCATTGAACACAGCCATCCAGGAAGCTGGCCTGTGGACAAATACAAATGTGTGTCTGCCTGTGAACCCCTCTGAGCCACCAAATGTACCCTGATTCTTCATTCATCCCATGATAGTCTCTAGCAACCAGCATTCTACACACTGAACACACAGTAAGTCTGAGACTAGAGAGAGGAGACATCTCCTTTTACAGTTCAGCAAATGAGGCTCTGAAAGGCCTTTCTGGGACTAAAATCCAGGATTCCTAGCTCAAGGACTCATGCCTTTGTTTCTCTGGTATATTCCATTAAAAAAAAAAAAAAGTGATTGGGCTGGGGATTTAGCTCAGTGGTTCCGGCACCTGCCTCACAAGCACAAGGTCCTGAGTTTGATCCTTGGTACCAAAAAAAAAGAAAGTGATAAAACAGATTTATCCATATACAGAAGATACAAAAATTACCGATAAACGCAAGTTGGAAAAATGTGCAATTGCATCCTATCAGTCCCCACAGCCTGGTGCCTTGTCTCGCACCAGCTCATTTCTCGGATGTCGGTGGCAGGCAGTCTCCTCCTGCCTCTGGCTCTCACTCTTCCCTCCAGTAAGAGACCAGAACCTCTGCCGCCTTCCTGCAATCCCCCTTGAGTCAGCCTGATGACTTTGGGAGGATTTACCTGTGTGGCATTTTGATGCCTGACCTATAGCACCTCCAGGGGCCTAGATGGCAGCTTCTACCCTACGTTTCCCAGGGGCCCTCACCCACCTGGTTAGGATGTCCCCTGGGGTCATCTCTTTATCTGGCCAGATGTATTTGATGATAACGATGGCAGTGACATACCAGGTGCCCACGACGCTCAGGAAGCTGTAGGAAGGAGAAACTGACTTCCAACTCCCCAGCCCCAGCAGCTCCCTGTCTAATTTTATCCCCTGGGGTGCCCGTCCCCAGCTCTAGGGACCACAGCTGTCCAATGAACACTAGGGACGCTGCCAAGCAAGGACTTGAGAGATGCCTGAGAAGTCAGTTTCAGAGACCTGCCATAGCTAGGAAGGGGGTGGATAGCCAATGGGGACCTAAGTGGTGTTGGGAAATGCACTGATTCAACTCCACAGCTCAGAGAACTGGGCTGTAGAGCACATTTACAACTTCAATCACAGGAGCCAAGCCTTGGCCTGCTAGCAGGCCATACTCTGGGCCAGGCCTGAGAGAACCAGGAGCTGCTGAAGCTAAAGGGCGAGAGTACAAATAGTGGAATGCCAATATTGCTGGGACTGTGGAGACGGCTGACTGTGACCCTTTCCTTTACAGACTGGAAGATAGTATAGAGCTCTGCAGCTGTTCAGATTCTAAGCCAGGAAGCCAGGCTTCTCCCTTCATGTTGAGTTGCATGGAAGAGGCTGGCAGGTGGACGTTCTCAAATGATCACAAATCCTGTCCTCTCAGGAGAAACCAAGGCCCAGGCTAGCAGGATACTCTCACATTCCCAGCCATCACCCGTCTCTTCCTTGACAAGAATATTTAAAACTGAATCTCTCACTGATGCCAAGGGGTGCTGTCTTCCCCAATGGGGACAGAAAAGGAAGGTCTTAGGCCTGACACCACGCAAGCCCTGGTCCACCTTGCATTGCCCACTTTGCTCCCTGAGCAGGCAAGGGGTCATGGAGGAGAAGAGCTCCCAGCAGTCCTTGGCTCTCCAGCTGCCTGTGATCAGGGCTTCTGTCTGGCCCAGGCTGGGGTGGGGCCTCCAAACCTGGCATATTTCTGGAAGCCAATCTCCCTGGGGATGGAGAGGGGCAGGATGAACATGAAGGCAGTGAGGCTGATGGTGAACTTTCGGTCTGTGTACCAGGGGCTGCTGATGGCCTCCTCAGGCTCCTTTGCCATCACCGCTATAACTGCAGAGGGAGGGAGGGAGGAGGGAATGTCATGCCAGGCCACCACAGGGTGTGGCCCTCTGCTCTGCTGGGCCCCAGGACCTCCCTCAATGGGCCCAGTAGCCTGGAGGGAGGATTTCCACATGAAGGCCAAGTAAGTGTACAGCTTTTCCCTCCACGATCCCCAGGGCCAAGGGGGAGGACTGGAGTGGGCATGCTGGGGAGAACCTCACTCTTGTCTTGCTGGTCGCCAATGATGATGAGGAAAGCAATGCAGGTGCCGAAGGTGTAGGTGGCGATGGCCACCTCACACAGCACACCTGTCAGCTTGCCACACACGGCCCACACCACCTCCTGGTAGGTCCTCTCATTGCTGGCCTGGGAGCAGTAGGCCAGGATGACGAGGCCACTGATGATGAAAACCAGCATGCCCTGCAGCGAGGACAGAACAAGAGGGTGTAGGGAAGGCCTTCGAGCCAAGCTCAGCATTTACTGGGCCAGTGCCCAAAGTGAGTCTGGAAAATGGGTCTCAATTTGTAAGGCAATTTGAATAGACTGCTAGAGGTTGCCAAGTCGAGATTTTCTTTAAACTCTCATGGGCCCATTACTCAGCTTCAAAAATAACCAATTCATGGTCAATCTTGCTGCCTCTTATTCCCCTACTCCCTCTAGATTATTTTGAAGTCAATGCAAGCTATCTTATCATTTCATCAGTAAATATTAGTAGTCCTCTAAGAAAGAGTCCTTTAAAAAAAAACAAAAACAAAAACAGAACCATAAAATCCACGTAACACCTAAAACATTAAATTTGCATTGATGGTCAAATCTCTTTGATGGGGAAGACTTTTGAATCCTCACCTGGGCTCATACTAAAGGGTGCTGGAATAGACTGGGAATGACTGCCATGTGCAACAGAGGGAAGAATGGCAGTCTGCCCCTGCTGACCATGCCTGATCCAGAGCCCCCTGATGAAGCTGCATATGCTGCATATCTGCAGCATATGCAGCTGCATCTCTGCTGCCAGCCCAGGCACTCACCATTTGCAGCATGACACCAGCTGTCACGCCCCCTGCAGTGCTGAAGGCTGCTGGGAAGTTGAGCAGTCCTGCGCCCAGGCAGGCATTGACGACGATGAAGATGGCCCCAAGCGTGGAAGTGGTGCCTCTGTCAGGGCCCCCAGGAAAGGCGTCACCCTCACTCTTGGGGACCATGTCCACACAGGGACTCTGCAGCAGACGAGCCCGCTCCCCAGCATCTGTGCTGGGGCCCCACTCGCTGTAGTCACTGTTGATGCTGACCTGGGCCATGGCACTGAGAGCCCTCTTCCTTCAAGGGCTGTGGGCTCTGCCTTACGACCACATCCCAGGGGTGCAGAGGGAACACTTGCCTGTTCGGGGCTGTTATTTTATGGAGACTCTTTTCAGCCTAGATGGGATAAAGGCAAGTACTTCGGTTATCCTGGAATACGGAGGCTAGGGGACAGAAAGATAAAACAACTTTGCCAAGATCACAAGGTAGCCAGGTGAATGCCTGTAATCCCAGCACTCTGGGAAGCTGAGGCAGGAAGATTGCCAGTTCAAGGCCTGCCTGGGAAACTTGGTGAGATCTCATCTCAAATTAAAAAACAAAAGGGCCAGGGATATTGCTCAGTGTGAACGCTCTGGGTTCAATCCCCAGTACTACGTTGTGTGGAGTGGCAGACAAAGGAAGGTGTCAGGTACAAACTCTGCTTGTTTTAGTCTGTAGGGAAAATGAGACCTGAACATAAAGAGAAGGTGTTAACATGTTGGGACTAGAGAGGCCCCAGTGATCAGGTACGTCACAGCTGTATCTTACCTCATTCAATCCTATGGCAGTCTTGTCAAGAGTTTCAGAGAGACAAAATCACTGATCTAGGGTCACACATTGGCCAGCTGACACACACAATTTGGACCCACATCTGTGTGTCTTCCCAGGCAGTTTCCACATCACAGGGTCCTACAAGGATCTCTCCCCAGGAACTGTGGGTGTTTCAATGCACACAGCCCAGTGCACCTCCTTGTAGTCCAGACACTAAATCATGTGTGGCTTTCAAGGCCCTCAAAATTCAAGCTAATTCTCACTCCTTTCCCACATGACAAGTCCCCCATACCTTTCACATGTGTCCTCGGAACAATAACCAATAATCCCATCCTTGAAATGTTCCCAGCCCCTCTTTGCCAGCCCCCTATTCCAGACTCATTTCTTCCCATTTTCTCAGCCGCTCACTGAGGCTTTCTTGGAGCCACGTGAGGGCCTAGCACTGCTCAGCCTGGTTACCTTTTGGCTTTCTCTCATGTGCTACCACTTCACGGCACCAGGATCGCTCTCTTGGGTCAGATTACAAGACTCTGAGGCTGAACATGTGGTCTTGTCATTAACTGACCACCACTCTGGCAGCTATAGAAGGTTTTACCTAATTTAATCTTCAATACAGTCCTAAAAGTGACATAACAGTCACCACTTTACCAAGGAGGAAACTGAATCCCAGGGCCATTAAGCCATTTAGCATTCTACCTGGGGCCATACAGCAGTAAGTGATGGAGCTGGGATTTTAAAACTAGGCCTGAATCCCTAGCACCACAAAGAAACAAATAACAACAGCATCAACAGCAACAAAACCCTGGTCTGTCTGGCCATCGAGCATCCATCTGTTTGTGTTTGTGCCACCCTGGACCCAAGATGGCACCATGGACATGGCTGAACTCAGATATCACGCTTGCCACTTGACTCTCTTTTTTTTTGTTGGTACTGGGGATGAAACTCGGGTCCTTGTGCTTGTGCAGCAGGCGGTGAAACCACTGAGCTAAATCCCTGGCCCACTGACTGACTGACTCTCTTCATTCTGGGCAAACACAGATAAACTGCAGTTTTCCCCTCAGCTTTGGCCCTTTCTTGAAAACCAGAAAGAAGTTTCTTCTCTCCAGAATCTTGAGATGCTCTGAGGAATCCAGCCCTGAAAACTGACCCTCAGTATGCTCAAGGTTCAGCTATGGCCCAAGACCTTCAAGAGAAATAATAGTCTTAAAGAACCAAGCCCAAACTCAGTTCAAGAGTGGCTCTGAGCAGGCAGAATCTGTGATATGGGACTCAGATTAGACTATTAGGTCTCACTGCTGACTCTTCCACTTTCCAGCTGTGTGACCTTGGGCAAGTCACTTCACACCTCTAAGCCTTTACATCGTACATTCCTATGAGGACTGTGTTAATACCACCGAGGGCTGAGCACTCAATAAATGGTCATAGGGCTGGGGATGTAATTCAGTGGTAGAGCAGATGGTTAGCATGTGTGAGGCCCTGTGTTCAATCCCCAGCAATCCCCTGCCCCAGAAGGGGTCATGGCTTTTGTTATGTTTGCAAATGTCCCTTCCCATTTTGCCCAACCCCTACAATGTGTAAGAAGCCTCAACCCTGAGTAAGCAGAGATCAAATAATTATCAAACTGGGGCCTGGTGCTACTTGGCAGGTAACACTGGGCACAAAGGCATTGGGACAGCTAATGGGAGGAAGAGCAAGGTGAAGGCCAGATTAGAGGGCAGGGGCTGGGCTCGGGAGGTAGCCCAGTGGTAGAACATGTGCTTAGCACATACAAACAAGGCGTTGGGTTCAATCCCCAGCATGCAATCCCTGAAAAAAAAGAGTAATGAGGAGCCATGAGACACCTTCCAGGGGTAGCTTTTGATTAGTTACCACCTAGGCTGGCAAAATCTGCCAGACTCCTTTCCCCAGTCTCTTCCTTCCTAAATCCCGATCGCAGGGTATTCAGACAAAATTCATTCTATTCTCCACTTCTCCCTCTCTGGCTTACCTCTCTGTGGCCCATAGGAAGAGAAAGAAACTGATTGGGTTCTGCCAAAAGAACAACCTAACCACCGTCAATCACACAGACATTCTCTCTGCGGCGTCAACCCCCTGGGGGTCTAGAATGGCTACTGGGGCCCCCCGGAATGCTTCCCAGTTGCTTCTCCTTATGATGGGATGAACAAAGCTGGGAAGTGTACCTTCTTGAGAAAGAGAGAAGAAAATGCAAATGAGGGGCACACAGTCCCAGAAGGGATATCCTTCTGCTGCTCCCAGATTCAGAAAGATCAGACCCCACCACAGGACTTCATCCTCTTACACAACCTGTCCCTAAACTAACAACTCAGCAAAAAATCAAAGCAGTGAGTAGTGAAGACAGAGTCTTGGGACTCCCAGGATTCCAGCCTGGTTCCAGAGCAGTCTGAGACCACCTCTTCCACCTGCTCACACCGTGAGGTCGACTGGGTGACTTGTCCAAGTCATAAGCCCAGGGGGGCTCCTGACCCTCCAAGGAGCAGATTTTCTTTTGCTCCCACCCCACCCTACCCCACCCCAGTGCTCCCACCACACAGGAGCTCAAGCTGAGATCCTCACAGATCTGGGGGGCTGAGTGCCTCCATCTCCACCACCCATTACTCAGCTCCCTTGTTCCCAGCTTACCTGCTCTATCGAACTACTTGGCTATGGTAGAAGGAGGTTGTTTCTTCTTCCTAGATGGCTGGGATCTGGTTCTCCTCGCTTCCCGGTAGGCTCAAGTTCTTTCTCAAGACTTTAACTAAAATCTGCAGTCAGCATAGAGAAGAGTTTGGGGTGTTTCTGGGCTGGCTCAGCAGAGCGGGGAGGGGGACTCAGCTCTGACACCAACTCATAGAATGAAGTGCCAGAGGGAATAGGGGAAAGGCTCACGGGGGGCAGAGATAAGACTAAAGTCACAGTGGGTACTTGGCAGGGTCACAGATACAAGCCTGATGCCCATATGCTCTGGACTTAGTTGTAACTATGGCAGCAGGCCCCTCAGATCCCACCCCGGGCGGGTTCTCAGTCCAGCCTGGAGTTGGAGCCCTACTACACAGGGGTTGGGCTGCACTGGGACTTGGGCTAGGAGCGGGGCGGGGGCGATTCTCAGGCTGTAGTGACGATGGTGGGTGACGTCGGCTCACTAGCGAGGGGCTCCCGGGACTCGATCCTGGCCTAGGTTTAGGTGGAGTCCGGGGCAGCACGGCCGGTGCCACAAAGGGTGGGCAAGGGGCGAAGCCGGGGTCCGGAGTCCTGCAGGAAACGGACCCGAGTTCTGCCTCGGAGTGGGACTCCAGGGACCCTAGCACCTGACGCATCCACCCTCCACGGCTCCCACCTCCTGCCACCTACCTAGTGTGCTTCATTCCCTAGCCGGCTGCGGAGGCACGTGAGCACGGATCACATGACAGTCTAGTTCTGGCCAGCCGCGGTTCACCTTGGGAGTTGTAGTTTCCAGTAAGTGTGAGTCTTGGAAAGCCAACTCCCTGAGTCATCAGCCTGACAGCATTGTCCTGAGCCAGCCTGGCCCCCAGTCAACCCGTGTTTATTTCACTATTTTTAAGCCCGGCCTCTTGGTCAAGCCAGACACTGCCCTCTCCTTGGAACAGCAATGGAGGTTTGGCACCGTCCACAGTCTGGGGCGGAGGCCCAGAGCTATTTGGCTTCACTAAACTTCCCAGTCTCTTGTCTATGTATTTGTGCCCACTGGCCAGTGCCCGTGGAGTTTGCCTTACTGAAGATTGTGGGAGACTGTTTTTACCTCCTTGAGCCCTGGTCTTTCCTAAAAGAGGGAGGACTGGGCTGAGTATTGTTCCTGGGCACAAACTGGGACCTAGATTCTAGAACATTTCTGAGACATTGTAGGCTCCCAGTAAACATTTGTTGAATGAGGGAATGGGTGTCCAGAGTTGTGACTTCTGTTCTTGGCTGTGTCACTCATAACTTGTTATTTTTGGCATTCTGATTCCCTCTTCTGTGTGTTGTGGGTTTTTTATCACACCTGCCTCTCCATTGCATCAGAGGTCCTCAATGCTAAGAAAGTATGGGATGTGGCTTGGAAACCCAAGTCTCGTTTTTAAAGTTGGAGATGTTATTGAGATCATTATAGATTCATATGCCTTTCTTTTTTCTTTTCTTTCCTTTTTTTTTTTTTTTTGACACATTCTTGTTGTGTACAGTAGTTCAGGCTGATCTTGAACTCACTGTGTAACCCAGGCTGGTCTGGAAGTAGTGTGGATCCTCCTGCCTAAGCCTCCCCAGTGCTGGAATTACAGGCTTGTGCCCCCCAATTCACATGCATTTATAAGAAATAATGCAAAGAGAGCCTATGTACCCTTTATCCAGTTTCCTTCAATGAAGATATTTTACAGAACTATAGTACAATACTATGACTTGGAGATTAGGATTGACATAATCTACTGATTTTATTCCTAGTTTTACTTGTTCTCTCTCTCTCCTCCCTCTCTCTCTCTCTGCATTTGGTTCTATAAAATTTTGTTACACGTGTGAGGTTTGTATATCCACATCATGTGGAAGAAATTGAACATTTCCATAACCATAAGATCCTTCCTACTTTTCATACTTGCTTCCCTGCTGCAAGACCCCATTAAAATCACTCGTCTGTTTTCTATTTTTGAAAATGTGTCACTTCAAAGACACTGTAATGGAACCAGGCTGTCTTAGTCATTTCAGGTTGCTATCACATAATACCATAAACTGAGTGGCTTAACCAACAGAGATTTATTTCTCACAGTTCTGGAAGCTGAGAAGTCAATGATCAGAGTAAAAGCAGGATGGGCTATTCTACTTTATAGATGACCAACTTCTTACTGTGTCATCACATGGTGGAGAGTTGAAAGAAAGCAAGCTCTCTCTTGTTCCTTCTTCTATTTATTTGTTTAGATGCTGGGACTGAACTCAAGGTCTCCTGAATGGTAGGCAAGCACTCTACCACTGAGCTCTATGCCCAGCCCTCCTGTCTCTTCTTCTTCTTCTTTTTTTTTTTTCAACCGGGGGTTGAACTCGGGTCCTTACGCTTTCGAGCCAGGCGACGGAACCACTGAGCTAAATCCCCGGTCCTGTCTCTTCTTTTAATTAAGAGCATTTATCTCCTCATGAGGGTTTCACTCTTCATGACTTCATCACCTCCCAAAGAACCAAACCTCAAATAGATGACATTGAGGGTTATAGTTTCAACCTATCAGTTTTGAGGGTACACAACATTCAGTCCATGGGACATATAGTGAACATTTTAGGGTTGGGTTTTAAAAAATGCAACATAATTCCCCAGAAACTCATCCCAAATGTGTACAAGTGTGTGTATAGGTTTTATTGCTGAATAGTATTCCATACTATGTCTGTTGAATAATTTGTTTACTTCAATTATTTGTCGAAGGACATGTTAGCTACTTGAAGTTTAAAAAAAATAACAATAGCTTTATTGAGATATTATCCATCTAAAATAAAATCAGCCCCATTTAAAGGGGATCAGGTGGTTTTAGTATCATGAGGGTTGTACAAACATTGCCACTATCTAATTTCAGAATATCATTCCCCAATCCCTGTAACCATTAGCAGCTCTCCACATCCCTCCTTCCTCCTGTCCCCTGATAACTACTGGTAGAATTGTGTGTCTATGGACATGCCTGTTCATTTGTTTTGAGGTGTTGGGGATTGAACTCAAGGCCTTTGCACTGAGCTACATCTCTCGCCCTTTTTTATTTTTAATTTTGATACAGGGTCTTGCTAAGTTACCAAATTGCTCAGGCTGGGCTTAAATTTACAATCCTCTTGGCTCAGCCTCCCAGAGTGCTGTGATTATAGGCATGCACCACCATGCCTGGCTACTTTATTCACTTTTATTGCTGAATAATATTTCATTGTATGGCTATATCACATTTGTTTATTATTCACTGTGGATGGATATTTGTGTTGTTTCCACTTTTTGGCTATTGTGAATAATGTTGGTATGAATGTTCATGTACAAGTTTTTGTGAACATGTTTTATTCTCTTAGGTAATGCAGAAGTAGAAATGATGGGTAAAATATATATATATTTTGGTACCAGGGATCAAACTTGGGAAATTGAGCTTGCAAGGCAGGCTGCAGAACAACTGAGCTAAATCCCCGGCCCTGATGGGTAAAATAGTAACTATGTTTAACCATTCTAGGAACTTCCAGGTGGTTTTCCAAAGCAGTTGCACCATTTTATACTCCTACCAGCAGTGTGTGAGGGTTCCAGTTTCTTCACATCCACACTGATGTTTTTTGTAGTTTATCTTTTGTGTGTGTGTGTGTTACTGGGAATCAAAGCTAGGGGTGCTCTACCACTGAGCTACATGCTCAGCCCCCTCATCATCATCATCATCATCATCATCATCATCAGTACTGAGGATGTACACCCAGGGCTTGTGCACTGAGCTACATCTGTAGCCTGTTCTACTTCTAAATTTTGAGACAGGTCTTCTTGCTAAATTGTCTAGGCAAGACTTTAATTTACTACCATTCTGCCTCAGCCTCCCTAAATGTTGGGATGACAGGTGTGTATCAGTGTGGCTGGCTTTTCTATCATTTTTATCATAGCTGTCCTATTGGTATGAAGCGATTAATCTCATTGTGGTTTTTGTTTGAGTTTTCTTCATAAATAATGATACTAGCATCTTTTCATGTGCTTATTGGCTATATCTTCAATGAAAAAATGTCTGTTCAGATGTTTTACCACTTATTAATTGGATTTTTTGGGGAACTGGGGATTCAACTCAGGGGCTTAACACTAAGCTATGATCTCAATACTTTTTATTTTTTATTGTGAGACAGGTGAGGAATTCCTGGATCCATACATGAACTCCCTGATTCTGATTATGACATTATAGAATTACCAAAATATGTTTTTTGTATAATTCCTTTTCTAAAAGTTTTTTTTTTAATTTGTAAGAGCTGTATTTTTTTTCTGATTTTTGAGGTAATATATGGAAAAGAATGTATAGATCAAAATAAAAGTCACCAGTATTACCAATCCAGGGATAATTCCTGTGAACATCTTGATATAATTATTCTAGACATTTTATATATGCATATTATACATGTAAAATAGTAAGCATAAGATCAAAATTACTTTATTATCTTTTAAAACTTACTGTATTCTGGATATCATTTCTTGTAAATAAGTATAATCATAAAAATTACAATTTTACATCTGCACACATTTGAACTGGAATACCAGATCTATTTAGCTATTCTTTATTCAATTTTCCATGATTATAAACAATACACTGATAAAGAATGAAACCAGCATGCATGATGGTGAAGGCATTTTTGGGACCCTGAACACTTGAATCCAGCTGTTAGACCCCTCAGCCAAAACTACCAGTAGATCGGTGTTGGGTTGTTCACATACTTGAACCAGTTCATGTACATGAGCAAATTCTCTTTTATTGCTTATGTCAGTTCAAGTTGGCTTTTGGCATGTCATAGTCGCTTTCTTATTGCTAACACACAATACCTGACACTCACAACTTAAAGGAGGAGAGGTTTATTATCATGTTTTAGTTCATGTTTGGCTGGCTCCAAAGAAGGAACAGCATGGCAGACAGGCATGGTGGAGGGAAAGCTGCTCACCTCATGGCAGCTGAGAAGCAGAGAAAGAAGGGATGAGCTGGGAAGGAGATAAACTCTTCCAGATCATGGTCCCAGTGATCTGCTTCATCAGAGCAAGCCCCACTTCCTAACATCCATTTAGTTTATCACCCTGATGATTCAATCACCTTTGAAAGCCCCACTTACCAGGTGGATTGTGGTGAGTTCACTGGTCAGCCTGAACTACATAGCAAGGCCTTGTCTCCACAAAACAAAACAAAACAGCCCATGGGGCTCTTGGGGAGCATTTAGATATAAACCATAATGTGCCACTTGCAACCACGAGTCCCAGCTGATAGACTCTACAGCCTCATGGCCAAGAGGGAAAAAAAATGAAGGGTGCCTTACTGTTCTAAGCACAATGACCTATCCAGTATTTGCTCTTGAATATTTATTGAGGGTTGTCATGGGCATCAAGTAAGATCATGTACATTTTGAAATGCTATGTAGATAAAGGTAAAGGATTATCAAACATCAACTTACAGAAATTCTCAGGTGGAATTCTTTCACATGGCCCAGTAATTGGTCCCAAAGATCTTTGGATAGTAAGTAAATTCCTTTTTGGATTTAGAGAGTGGATTTCATTTCTGTAGATTTCCCAAGCCCACCACCTCGCTGGGGACTTTTTTTATACTGGAGATTTGAACACATGACCTTGTGGATGCTAAACAAGGACTTTGTCACTAACTACATGCCAGCCTTTTACAATTTTTTATTATTTATCTTTGTGTGTATGTGTGTGTGTGGTGGGGTGGGGTACTGGACAACCCCTGTCCTTCACGCTGAGCTATATCTGCAACCCTTTTTATTTATTGAAACAGGATTTTACTAAGCTGCCCAGGCTGGGTTCAAACTTGCAACCCTCCTGCCTCAGCCTCTGAGTCCTTGGATTACAAGAGTGCACTACGATGCTCAGGCTATTTTTATGCTGTATAGTTTGAGACAGGGTCTTGCTAAATTGCACAGGCTAAGACTCTTTTGTAGCTGAGACTACAGGTGTGCACCACTATACCAGGTGCTAGTCTCAATTTTAGCCATTTGGTTGGTGCACAGTGGTTTCTCAAGAGTGGCTTTAGATGATTTCCCTAATGAATAATGATTTTGAAATGCCATACTTTGGCTATGCATATCTAAACTCCGCTATCTTTTTTTGTGAAGTGACTGTCCAAGTCTTTTGCTCATTTTAAAATTGGCTTATCATATTGAATTGTTGGAATCATTTATATATCTAGATTCTAGTACTTATTATTTGCACGTATTGTTAATATTTTGGTCTATATATTGCCTCTTTATTCCTTTAATTGGTTTCCTTGGTTGAAAAGCCTTGTTTTAAGTTTGTGTCCTGTTCATGAAACATTTGCCTAGAATTTTGAAGACATTCTCATTTTTTTCCTAGAACTTTTATTGTTTTCCTATCCTCATTTAGGTCTGTGATTCATCTTGAACTCATTTTTGTATATAATATCAAGTAGGGAAGGTAAAAATTCATTCTTTTTATTTATCATCCAGTGGAGCACATGCCTGTTCCTCTTAGTCTTTATCTTTGAATGAGAGCAGAACGTGGAGGGGAGGAACTGGGGGCTGGCAGAAACACTCCCCTGGGCCCACACAGCGAAGCTCTGCATGACCCAGGTTATGTGTACACATGGTGAAATGGTGACCATTGCTCCTCTTCTGGTGTCATTAGTTGGTAGGAGGGGCAGGGCTGCTTAGCACTCAGTCTCTATCCCAAAGTACAGTGCAACAATGGTACCTTCACACTTCTTTCTTTAGCCCTGCCTCCTCTGCTGCTCTGTAAGCCAAGGAGGGCTGTTACACAAAGGGACAGTTGGTTCTTCCTGGGAAATTGGCTCCTTCTAGGCCTTGCTTGTACTGTTGTGGCAGGGGTTTCTTTTTCTTTCTTTTTTTCACTACATACATGCTTTTATTACCTAATTAATTAATTATTTTTTTTGAGATAGGGTCTTGCTGTGTATTACAGGCTGCCCTTGAACTCCCAACATGGTTTAAAAACTTGCAACTCCTGAGGGATTTAGCTCAGTGGTTCTGCTGCCTGCCTTGAAAGCGCAAGGATATGAGTTCAATCCCCGGTACCAAAAAAAAAAAAACCCCAAAACTTGCAACTCTTAATTATTTTCAGATTCTTCCAGAAGGTTCCGTGTGGTGCTCTTTGTTCTGCTGATCTCAATTTGTTTGGAAAGATTTTGTCTCTTAACTGAAGATAGCAACACTTAAGTGAAATCTTGGACCTGGGGTAAAGAACTTGAGCCACCTATGGGCAGTAGCCTCCCTTGTCTTTCCAGAGGTAGAGTGGACCTTTTATTTTTCTGGTTTTTTTGAGACAAGGTCTCACTATGTAGTTCAGCCTGGCCTTGAACTCACTATGTAGCCCAGGCCGGCCTTAAATTCATGGCAATCATCCTGGATCAGCCTCTGAGTGTTGGGATTATAGTTGTGCCCCCACATGCTCAGCATTGAGGAAATTATTTTCTCTCTAAAATGAGCATACATTATTTCTATCATTTAGAAAAAATATCAACAATTTTATATCACTCTGAAAAAAGAAAAATTGGTCCTTCTGTTAAGTTATAAATAAACTGGTAATTTTTATGATAAAAAGCCATAACTCTGAAGTAAAGGTTTAAAACAATTTTTGGGATGGGATGTGGCTCAGGGGTAGACTGCTTGCCTCGCATGTATAAGGCCCTAGGGTTGATCCCCAGCAGCATTTATAAAAAAAAAAGGCTCAAGCTAATGGTGTGAACTAGACTTTTCCTTCCTAATAGTTCTTTACTTAGTACACTACATCAAGCCCAGTGTCCTTCTCTACAGAGGTTCTTTTTTTCTGGTACCAGAGATTGAGCTCAGGATCTTGTGCTTGCCAGGCAGGTGCTCCACAGAGGTTTTAAAAATTACTTTTAAGTGTTTCAAAAACATCTCAAAGATATTTTTCTTTTGACCTATAAAACACCCATGCAAACACCACAATGCATTATTCTTTTAATATACTGCTGGACTTCATTTACTAAATTTTAGTAGGAGTTTATAACTATAACAGCTTTGCTTTGGTAGTGCTGAGTGAGTTGGACTTTGGTTGTTTACATGTAAGCCCAGGACAGTTTAGTCTACCAGTTCCCCATAGCTGGTCCATGTATCACCTATATGTAATCACCTAGAGGTTTTGTTTTGCTTTCCTGTGCTGGGGATTAAACCCAGGGTCTTGTGCATGCTGTAGCCCCAGCAGCTCTTTTCCCTATAGTACTGGGGATAGAACCCAGAGCTTTCATTCTGAGCTATAAGTATTCCTGGTTCTTTATTTTTTTCATTTGAGACAAAGTCTCAGTAAATCACTAAGTTGCCCTGGCTGGGCTCAAACTTGAGATCCTCCTGCCTCAGCCTCCCAGAATGCTGGGCTGGAATTACAGGTGTGTGCCATCATGCTTGGCTTATTTAAAAAAATAGAGCAGGGAGTGTAGCTCAGTTGTACAGGGCTTGCGTAGCATGCCTAGTCCTGGGTTCTATCCATAGCCCCCCCCCCAAAAAATTTTTAAATCTTATTTCATACTGAATCAATCAGATGTCCAGAGTGAGGCAATATTTTAAATAAACAACCTAGATTTGGGAACTATTCTACCTTAAATTATGATGAAATGAAGGCAGGCAAACTAACTTTTCAGCAGATTGGAGAATATTAACATCTTAGATCCAGACTAGGAAGCTAGGAGTTTCAGCAAACAGGCTGAACTTCTGTAGAAAACATCACGGTTCATACACCACCTGAGGAATGGGACTTAGTTGCCAGTGAGCTGGTAATCTATGTGTTTAAAAATAACAAGATTGGTGGGGTGGTGAATTCCTTTTGCAGTTACTTGAGGTTTTAACAGCTAATTTTTAGCCATTTTTGCTCCAGACAGGGAAAATTTAAAGCAGTTTCTCCTAACCTAGGCAGTTAGTCCTTCTCCAGAGCAGCTGTTTTATTTTTCTTCCTAAAAGATACTTTTCCAAAGACATCAGTGAAGTAGTCCATTCTCTTACTGTTTCACCACCTTGGTATATACCCACCAGCAACAGGAACCCAGAAGAGCAGAGTCTGGAGCAACTCCCTGCCAGCCGCAGTGTCCCTCAGGAGTGAGAGGACCTGCTGTGCCTTCTCTGCCTTCTCAGCAACCACCAGAATACTGAATGGCTCTGGGCCTGACCCTGTTCACTGCTTTCTGCCCCGGCTCGGCCCTATCTTGAATAGCCCTGGGCAATAAATAGATGGGGACAGAATAGACATAGGCAGGGTGGATGCCACACAGGTACCACTGTTAGATGCCTGGTGACAGAACATATGGTCTTACAAGAGAGCTCAGACTGGGAATCTACTGTCTGCACATTGCATACATGTCACTTTAAAAAACTAGAATTAAGCGGTTCTGCCACCTGCCTCGCAAGTGCAAGGACCTGAGTTCAATTCCCAGTACCAAAACAAAAAACCAAACTAGAATCAGTTGCCAACTATATTATTTTTAATTTTATATCAGTTTATTAATTGATTAATTGTACTGAGATTGAACCAAGACCTTTGCACTGAGCTAGGTCACCAGCCCTTCAAAAAATTTTTTTTTCTCTTTTATCTTGACACAGTCTTGCCAAGTTGCTTAGGCTGGGCTCAAATTTGTGATCTTCCTATCTTAGCGTCCCAGAATGCTGAGATTATAGATGTGCATCACCACATCCAGCCAAAATCAGATCAGCTTTGTAGACTTTAGCTAACACCAAACAATTCTGTAGTGTTATGCAGCACAGGTGAAAACAGATCGATACTCATACTCACGGAGGAGCTATGCACTCTAGCAGGAATGCATACTAAAACAGCTTCCCAGCTGCCTTCTCCTGGTGGCCTCAGTTTAATCACCAAGACCACCAAGGGAAAGCAGGACTCCTTTCAAGAACCTCAAAGCCATTAAGCAAGCGGTAGGCAGTGAGAATAATTTGTAGGCCAACATTGAGCAGGAGGTGAGAGAAGTACCCTAATTTCTCTGTTTTAATATGTTTTATTAGTGCATATTAATTTTATAAAATATTGGCTTTCATTGTAGTTATTTATTTTTATAGTTTTGCTAACTTTTAAGCATCAATAGAGCTTCCATAAAAATCAGTATTTCTAATTTTTCTTTTAAAATTGAAGACCTGAAAACTTGGGCTTTCATGCTCACACCTCTCTACTATTCCTCTATGCTGAGGATGAGCACTGATCACTGATGATCAGCCACATACAGTTCCTATCATTTATTCAATTACTTGTCTCCTCTAGACACCCGAAGCGGCCACCTCTGCTCTATCCCTTCTACTCCTTGCCTATATCCATGGCATCCTTTGTGGGACTCTACTTGTCTCCCAAGGTCTGAGGGATGACATGTGCATTCTCAACATCTTTGGACTGGACAAGATGAATGGCAGGATGAAGAAAAAGATATATTTTCCATCAGCATTTGGAACAGCCAACGATTTTTTGGCTTATGGTCAGCGGGACACGACTCCAGGCTCCTGGAATATATGCTCACTCTTACCTTTCCTCACACTTAAAAAAAAAAAAAAAAAGCAGGTAGTGGTTGGGTCTACAATCATTTTATTGTAACAGAGAAACCAGGCTGCAGTAAGTCTACATGATTAGAGCAGATGGTGGTTATCTTTTCAAAGGGTGAAGTATATCTTCTTTCCTGATGCTACCCCACACCGTCCAGCTGCGAATGAGATGAGTGGCTGACAGCCACACTGAGGAAGAGAGCGGTCCAGCCGGCAGAGGCAACATCCCAACGGGAGACAATTACACAACTACTGAAGCAGGTGCTGAAGTAAAGTGCAATCACCTACTCCCCACTATTCTGTGCTAAGAAAGGAGAGGGAATGGCATGAGCAGAGTATTATGTTCTTCATTCTTAGATAAATCCTGATAGGATAAGGTTGATGGTCACTCAAGCAGTAGAATGGGGTGAAATCTGGCTAGATATAACAGATCTTCGTGCCTAAATGACAAAAAGGAGAGCCTGTTCTCTCCTTTTCTTAAATAAGACAGGAGACAGCATCTATTATTTTCCTTGGTGTAGTGAGAATACACTCACTGGTTTTTGTAAAGCATAACTTTGCAATTTGGTCTGTTGATAAGATTGCTCCACCATGGAGGACAAATGTGAGTTAATGGCTGTTAATGGCAGACTAGGTCTTCTCTCACAGCCTCTATTATGAGCTATGTCTCATGCTGGGTCCACAGACCAACCTCTTAAACCACATGATGCTTCAGTTAAAGCTTCTGAAATACTGCAATGTCCTGAATGACAGATTTTTTTTGGCGTTGTGACTTTCTTGCATGTGTAAACTGTTTTAGAAAAGTTAGAGATAAAAGAACAGGGGAGTTTGGTTTACAGCCACAAAGTTCCAGACCAGCCACAATGCCTCTGCCCTAGTTCACTACGTGTTCTTTTCTGAGAAACACATTCAATTGTTGAGTGTTATGCACTGTGGTTGAAAGAAATGATCCACTCACCACCATCCACCCTCCCTCATCCTGTATGTGAATCTCACAACAGCAGAGGCTGAACACAGAAAGGTTGTCTCTGTTCCTTGCATCTGGAGATTACTTCGTGACCTGATGAATGGCATGGGCAAGATAGCCCACATTGCCAGAGGTGACCCCAGCCACAGAGATGCGGCCGTCCTTTGTCATGTAGATCGAGAACTCCTTGGTCAGCCGCTCTACCTTCAGGGAGAAAAGGGCTTGGTTACTTCTTCTAGTTGGGGAATTTTCCCAGCTCTGGCATGGCATAATAGCCAACTTGTTATGATAAAAATAACAGGGGCTCTATTTCCTCACTTAAGCTCTCTTCTTAGGATTTTGGTAAGTAAAAGAAGAATAAAAAACTATTTTAAAGTAGGATGATGAATTTTGAGGTGTGAACAGGTGGAAAAAAAATCTCAGACATAGCACAGAACCAGCAGTGGTCACAAACACAATCAAAACAAGCTGTGTGGGCTGGGGATGTAGCTCAGTGGTAGGGCAACTGCCTAGCATGTGCAAGGCCCTGGTTCCAATTTCTAGTACTGAAACCCCTTTTCCCCAGTGGTGCTGCACCTGCCTGGCAAGTGCAAGGTCCTTAGTTCAATCCCTGGTACCACACACATGCACACACACAAAAATCCCCCCCAAAACCCCCTCAAGGTATGTATTCAGAAGTTTGCAACCTCATGAGAGGGATACAGATAGACAAACAACTAATAAACAAAACAAGCCAGGCACAGTGTCATGGACCTGTGGTTCCCAAGTACTCAGGAGACTGAGGAGGGAGGATTACTTGAGCCCAGGAGTTGAAGACCAGCCTGGGTAACATAGCTGAGGCCCTATCTCAAAACGACAACAATAACCCAAAACCATATGAATGCTACCTATTACCTTTACTAAAAGGGCTCCAAAATAACTTTTTAGGGCAACTCTGAATAGGTATGAACCTATGAGGAATTCTAGTTTGCAAGGACCAATCAACGGGCAGCTGCAGAAAAATATCCACTTACCTGCTCAGGCTTTAGGCCTGTGAAACAAAACATTCCAATCTGGTCAGTGATGTGCTGCCAGCTGTGGGAGGAGCCTTCCTTCTTGAGGTTGGAGACCAGCTGGGTGCGCATGCTAATGATGCGGTCGGCCATGCCTTTCACTTCTTGCAACCTGTAAGGAAACCCAGAGAGGCAGCTCATTTTGGCCAAGAACCACTAGGTAAACTGGAGTTCACAGAATTTTAATCTAGTGTGTTTCAATTCCTAAGTCTTTGACTAAGCCACAATGCTCCACTGGACAGGGAAAAAAAGTTATTTTAGCTGGGGATTTGGCTCAGTGGTGCTGCTGCCTGCCTCATAAACGCAAGGTCCTTTTTTTGATCCCCAGTACAAAAAAAAAAAATCCAGAGCACCAGGACCACTTCAATAAATACATTGCAATAAATGAGTCTACATTTTAAAAAAAAGTTATTTTACAGCATTCTGTTTCATAAGACTATTTTAATCAAACAACTAAAATACTTAACATACTTGAATATTAAGAAAAGTAAAGTCATCACTAGAAAACTTGAGGCTAAAGCAGAAACTATAGGTTTAACAGTAAAATATGACCCTATTCTTTATCATGGATGAATAAACATTGCTGCCTTCACAATAAGACAAAGCACGGTAAACCTACAGTGAACCAAATTCATGTGCTACATGCTGAGGACTGAGTCACAATCCTTGCCTTTAAAAACTTATAATGAGGGCTACAAGCCAAACCTCTAAACAATCTATGGAAGAAGGCAGCATAACATAAAGCTAACAGAACAGTGCTATGCTACAGAGGCCAGAGAAGAGAGGGCTGGCTCTGTCTAGGGACTAGGAAAGGCAGCTCACTTGATTTTGAACACAATTTTCCCCTTAGAACTGCTGCTTACATTCCATTCCCATGGGTCTACAGGAAATTCTTGTTGGTCCACCAACTGGACCACTGTAATGGCATTTATAACTTATCTCTCTGTTGTGTGTTCAGCTTCCTAAATCATCCCTCAGTGATGATGTCATGCACAGCCAAAACAGGTTTAAAATTGTAAATTAAAGGCCAAATAAGGATCTTGCTTATATTTTTATTTGGCCCAGTAAAACATTTTAAAATTGGGTACTTGCATGTAAAATTTTGGATTTATAGTTTCAATTGAAAAATGAGAAGCCACTCCATAGTTAAAGCTCTTATCAGATTGCTGAAGGACCTGAGGATTCGTTTTCCTGGTTTTGAGACCCTCACACCCTGGATCCTTGACCTACTTGGGCACTATGCTGTGATGAATAACCCCACCAGACAACCTTTGGCCCTAAATGTGGCATACAGGCATTGCTTGCAGATTCTGGCTGCAGGTCTGTTCCTGCCAGGTTCAGTGGGTATCACTGACCCCTGTGAGAGTGGCAACTTCAGAGTACACACAGTCATGACCTTGGAGCAGCAGGACATGGTGTGTTACACAGCTCAGACTCTGGTTCAAATCCTCTCACATGGTGACTTTAGGAAGATCCTTGGACAGGAGGGTGATGCCAGCAATCTTGCTTCTGAAATATCTACCTGGGATGGAGTGATAGTGACACCTTAAGAAAAGGTTTATGAGAAGCCACCTGAGAAGAAGGAAGGGGAGGAAGAGGAGGAGAATACAGAAGAACCACCCCAGGGAGAGGAGGAAAAGAGCATGGAGACCTTCCCTTCACTTCCTTTCCTCCTCAAGGGAAAGACTGGAGCCTCAGCTGGCTCCCACTGGGCTTTATGTGGTGGGATCTGTGGGGTAGGAGAGAAAGCAAGAAGGACAAATTCTACAGAGAGACATGTCATTCTACTGGGCTCTGATACTGGCTTAGCCAGAGGTCTCCCACTTATGACTTACACGACCCATCTAAAATGAAGCAGGATACTGACATTTCTTCCTAATACTCTAGAATCCCCAATACCTGCAACCCCTCTAACCAGTACTTTCTTGTTGAAATGTGAACTGTTTTAAGTGTCTGGAGATTTTTTTCTAAGAAAAATGATTAAAGTACTTCCTAGTAAAAAAAAAAAAAAAAAAGAAAAAAAGAAAAAGAAAAATAAGAAGCTGGCAGTAGTGTGTTACCAGTGATTACTGACTGGAGCTGAGAAGCCCCTGGCATCTGATTTTAAATTTCCTGCAGCCACATCTATCCAGCTCCATTCACTTTGAGGCATGGCCCTTAAAGGCACTGCACGAAAAGATCTGTGTATCCTAGATGTGGTGCAACCTTAGCAAAACCCCTCCAACCTCTTTGCTGCTCAGAGCACCCAGTCCTGACTTCTCATGTATATCAGTAAAGGTGTTTCCCACCAGCTCCACCTTCTCAGCTTCACTGCCTTCTATGCTCCTCCTCACTCAGCATTTCTGCCACAGAACTGACGTGGGAGAACTGACGTGGGGATTTCTGTGTACACATTGCACAAGGCACATCCCTGCCTGTACATTTCACAAGCAGATTTCTTTGCCCAGTTTCCCATCATTTCTTTTAGGAAAAGGGCTAGGGATTTAGCTTAGTGGTTCCACCACCTACCCCGAAAGCACAAGGTCCCAAGTTCGATTCCCGGTACCCAAAACAACAACAACAGTCTTTTAGGAAAAAAGCCTTCTCCTCTTTTATTTTTATTTACTTTTTTGGTACCGGAGATTGAACTCAGGACCTTGTGCTTTTGGGGTAGGCAGTGGAACCACTGAGCTAAATCCCCAGGCCGGCTCTCCTTTTTTTAAGGCACAGCTCAGACTGCAGTTCTCATTACATCGTCCCTAACTCCCCACTGGAATCAACTCTTCTTTAGCTGGTATTTATTCTATTCTGTCTTCTTTTTTTTTGGTACCGGGGATCGAACTCGGGTCCTTGTGCTTGCATGGCAGGCAGCGAAACCACTCAGCTAAATCCTCGGCCCTTCTGTCTTCTAAAAGTGTTCTTGTATGCATCTTTCTCACTGTGTTCTAGACTCCCTGAGGGTACCAACCATGTCTTAGTCATCTAGTACAGCACTGTTGTCCAGTATAAATTCCCAAATGTGTACTGAAACATGAACACTAAAAAAAAAAAACCCAAAAACTTTTTTTTTTTGGTACAAGGTATTGAACTCGGGACCTTGCGGTAGCGAGGCAGGAGCTGGAACCACTGAGCTGAATCCCTGACCCCCAAAAACTTTTTAACGATCATGGAATATGGGAATAGAATAGAAAAAAATCACTACAATATTACAATAAACAAAGTTTAGTATAATTCTAAAATCAAAGCTAAGCTGGGCATTGGGGTGCACACCTATGATCCCAGCACCTTGAAGGCTGAGGCAGGAGGATCCTGAGTTCAAGACTACATTGGGTTAAGTTCAGGTCCAGTGTGGACTACCTGTCAAGACCCTGTTTTACAAAAACAAACCAGTAGCTGGGCATGGTGGCACATGCCTGTAATCCCAACACTCGGGAGGCCGAGGCAGGAGGATCATTGCAAGTTTGAGGCCAACCTGGGCTACACAGGGAGACCCTGTCTCAAAAAAACCAAAATAAAACAAAATAAGTCTCCCCCCACAAAGTCCCAAAACCAACCCTACACATACATATATAATAGTGTTTTATACAATATATTATAACTATGGATAATAATAAACAAGGAAAAAAAGCTGAGTTACAGTGGGTTAATATTTTTCTCCCAAACTTGCTTTTTTTTTTCCTTTTCTTTGATACTGGGAAATGAACTAGTGAACTATATTCCCAGCCTTTCTTTCCTTTTTTTTTGAGACAGGGTTTCCTTCAGTTGCCCAGGCTGGCCTTGAACTTGTGATTCTTTTGCCTTAGCCTCCCAAGGAGATGGGATTACATGTATGCACCACCACTTCTGGCTTTCTTCTCCCAAACTTTCTCAAATGTGTTTACCTGTTAATTGTATATAATGAGAAAAAAAAATTATAATTGAAAAAGTAGTCGATGTTTTTGGTAAGTCTAGCATAAATCTATTGTACTAAAAAGAACTATCCTGAAGCAAACTCTTGCTATTTACTTCAATGTTCACAGGATTAATTTGAGATAGGAAAAACAGTTGTCACATGATGACTTGTAGGTTTGGAGACAACAGATTTATTTTTCTACTCAGAAGCTACACAGGAATCTGTCCTCTCAACTAAGCTACACAGGATAAACATACATCTAAATTAAACTATATTGTGTGTCATGACCCATTGGTAGGTCATAAATTCAATTTAGGTTTTTTTTTTGGTACTGGGGATCGAACTTGGGTCCTTGTGCTTGTGAGGCAGGCAGCAGAACCACTGAGCTAAATCCCTGGCCCCATAAATTCAATTTAGTAGGATACAATTTGCATTTAAAAAATATTGGATTCAATCTCTAGCACTACACAAGAAAAGAAAGATAATACTGGAATGTAGCACATGAAGTCCCTAGTATCAAACGTTTTGTGCTTTTTGAGATGAGGTCCTGCTACATTGCCTAGGCTTGTCTCAAACTCCTGAGCTCAAGTGATTCTCCCACCTCAGCCTCCTGAGTAACTAGGATTAAGGAATGTTCTACCATAACTGGCTTAATTAAATATTGAATTAAATAAATATTCTTTTCTTTTTTTGAGGGGGAGAGGGTCTCATTATGTAGTTCAGGCTGGCCTTGAACTTACAGTACTATGTAGTTCAGGCTAGGTTTGAACTCATGGTGATTCCCTTGCCTCAGCTTCCTAAGTGCTGGGATTACAGGTGTGCATCATTACACCTGGCAAATATCGAGTTTTAGAAAGTTACAGTTATATATACAACCATTAACTAATGTGTTCGGGGCCATGATGTAAAATGTATTTTTTACGTGAAATGTGATTAAAAAAAGATTAACACTAATTTGGAGAACAAGTATTAAGATTCAGATGGTAGGGGTCGGGGATTTAGCTCAGTGGTTTTGCCGCCTGCTGTGCAAGCACAAGGACCTGAGTTCGATCCCTAGTACCAAAAAAAAAAAGATTCAGATGGTACAGATAATAAAAACCAAAAATATGCATAAATACTGATTCAATACAAGCAATTATTGTGACATAAACAAAAATATAAGGGCTGTGGATGTAGCTTAAAGGTAGAGTGCTTGCCTAGCACAAGTGAATCCCTGGGTTCAATCCCCAGCACTGCAAAACAAAAACCAAAACATGATCTTCTTAAGGAAGTTTTTCTATATAAGCTACTTTAATCTGAACCTGAAGGAAGGTTTTACTAAATATGGAGACTACAGAATAAAAGGAATTGCTCTTCTGAATTATGCCATGTCTCACAGGGAAATGCCCACTCAAGGATGTGCTGAAAAAATGCACCTCCCCCACCCCAACATGGAATCTGTGAGGTACTGCACATCGCTGGAGGTCAGCTATAAACCAGCTCTGAAGGAGTGGTGGGGACTGGTGCACAGCTGGGGAGTGGCAGGGTTTTTACCATTGCTTTCGTAAGTCCGGGGAAGTCAGAATGGTAGAGGCAATCCGGGCCCCATTGAGAGGAGGGTTGGAATACATGGGACGGATCAAGATCTTCAACTGCGACTCTACCCTTTTGGCTTCATCTGCATCTTTGCAGATCATAGTGAAGGCTCCCACACGCTCTCCTGGAAAGACAAAGCGAAGCTTGTCTTTTAGTTCCCCATCTAACATGCTTAACCAAATCTCAATTAAATTTGCTACTTTAACTGTTTCCATCTGAAGGGCCACAAAAATAACTTTTTATTATAAATAAATAAAAACAGCAAGGATGGTGAATTGAGGCATAACAGAAAGTTTGAGTATTTAAACCTTATTTTATTGTATATATTTTCTTGCCTCCTGGATCAGTCGCTTCTTGTTTAGAAAAGCAATTATCTGTTTTCCAGGTAAGAAGGGACATAAAGGAAAGACAGACAGACACCATTTCTATCTCTCCCTGCCTCTGTGATGTTCTCTCCCAGCTCTTCTTCAAGCTCATCGGAAGACATATCACACTGGGTCCTGTAGCTTACCATATAAGCCCATGTTCTTGGCGTATGACTGGCAGAGGCAAACATTAATGCCCTGTTCGATGAAGTGGCGCACAGCCCAGGCATCCCTGTTACCATCACCGCTGGCGAAGCCTTGGTAGGCCATGTCAAAGAACGCAAAAAGATTCCTTTTCTGGGAAGCAACGAGAAGACCAGCTTTAAGCAACTGTCTGCAGACACCACAGGTAGTTACTTGTACTTACTGAGATCTTGCCTGCCTCACTAGGGGTAAGATAGCAACTTGTCTTTTTTTTTTAAAGTTTGGTTGATACAGTTCCTCAAAAAAGAGAATCTTAACCTCAATGTGCCCAGAATTTTCCTTAAATAGGGTCTGGGTCATTATTTTTGCTTAGTCAACACAAGACTAACACCTGTCTTTTCTGGAGCTAATGTAACCTGGGCAGGCTCTTTCTAAACCGAGGGCTCCTGAGACGGCCTGATTAGAACCATCTCATCTTGAAAGTGCTTTCTGCATGCTGTTTCTGCCTCATTCTTTTTGCAGCTTAGATATGGCAGAAGGTGGTGAAAACAGGGACTTAAAATGGTGGGAGTATTTTCCCCTCTAGAATTCTGATGAGTCTCTTCTGTGATAGCCAGCTACACTCTGAGGGATAATGGCAATACTGAGGAAAGTGGCAGGAAAGGAGGGGACACAGAAGTATATAAAAGGATGTGTAATGAACACTGACCAAGGCAAATGCAGGCACTACGAGCAGACCCAGGGCCAGTGGAGCTGCTGTGCAGGCTAGCCAATGGCAGGCTTTATCCAAACTGAGGAACAAGAATTATTTCAAACCGCTCATATACCATCAATTACAGAACTGTTAGTTAAGGAAACAAGGAGCTCTTTCCTGGTAGCTTATCCCCATGTGAACATTTTGTGTAGGGTCAAGGTTAATTTTCACTGTTAAGACTAAGTTAAGCATCCAAGTCTAGTCACTAAATCCAGAACTTTAATTAGACACATAAGCTTAAATATTAAATGGCTTATATGAGAAACCCAAAGAATAAATAATTTAAGGAGCAAAGTAAAGACAGATAAGAGCGAACAGGGAGACAGATCTTTTGCAAATGAAAGGGAACCAAGAGATGGAGCGGGAGAGAGGGAAGTAAAAAGAATTAAGATGTGTTATGTACATGAGCCAATTCTCCATGATGAACGTCCTCATTATGTACTGCAAACCTGTACTAAAATAAACAAATAAATAAATACAATAAACCTAGAACTAATCCCAATCTGGTCATCCTCCTCACCTTTATCACTAATGCTATTTCCTTCCACTGCTCTTGGCGAGGGTCCACTCCAGTGGGATTGTGGGCACAGGCATGCAGGAGAATAACGCTTTGCTCCGGTATTTTCTAAAGAGAAAAATAACCAAAAGACTGCTGCTTTGCAGCTTAAGAGGAGAGAGTTGCCAGAGGGTCACTAGAATTTGATAAGTAACAAAGAGAATCTGAGGTCTGGGAATTACCCCATTCCCAGATTTTAAGCCAGATATTAGGACCTGGTGGAAGACACCAAATGTCTACAAGAAGTTTATTACTTTTCTTTTGTCCTTCCAGCCCTGAAAGCCACTTACTGAAATGTCCTCAATGGCACCAGTGAAGTCAAAACCGCAAGTCTTGGGGTCATAATATCGATAGCCTTGGAGCTGCATGCCAGCATCCCTGAAGATGGGTGTGTGATTTCCCCAGGTTGGCTTGGGCAGGTAAACATTTTGGCTGAACTTAAAAAATCTTTGCTAAAAGATGAGGTGAAAGGCAATGGAAAAATGAAAAAAAAGGGTAAGCAAAAATGTTAGTATATTTTCTTGAGATATTTTTCTCTACTGAATCTTTTCTATGGTTGACAAACAGTATTAAGTCAGTCTGGGTAATCTGGGCCCTGATAATTATTCTTGTGTAGCTAGGAACTTTTCTGGGCCTTTGCTTGTAAAATGGTGTTAACAGGGTAATGGTGCATGCTTGTAATACCAGCATTCTGGGAGGCTGAGGCAGGAGGATTATAAATTTGAGCCTAGCCTGGGCAACTTAGTGAGACTCTGTCTCAAAATAAAAAGTAAAAAAGGCTGGGGATATAGCTCAGTGTGACAGCCCTAGGTTCAATCCCCAGCACACACACACATGAATTTCTCTCATTGGGATTAAATGAATTAAAATACAAAAAAATATAAAAAAGCTCCCTAGTAACAGTATACAATCAATAAGCTGAGTTTATTATTATTATAATTTCTCCAAAATACTTTCTTTTCTTAATCTGAGAACAGGAAATCTGCCAATTCTGTGGGAAGAGGAAATCTACATCTGTCAGTATTGAATACACGTACAACAGGAAGCCCTGTCAGCTTCCATTGAGAGAGTTTTCCTGAAACTGCTTCCATACTCACCAGAAAGCTGGCTCCGATCCTTAAGGCTCCAGTTCCAGAAATGGTCTGCACGGTGACAAACTGCAGGAGAGACACCATGGTCAGTGCTGTGGCCAGCACAGAGAGGCCCTGCTCTGTCCAATCGGTACCCTTTGCACTTTAAAGGTAATTCCTTATGGCCTATTAATATCACCTATAGAACACTCGTAGGACACAAAAGCTCTACCCCAATACGCAAAAGCAGTGATTTGCACAAAAATAATGAAAAGACTTAAGAATAGTCACTATATTAAAATGTTACTCTAGAATTATATAAAATGGAATGCCTCTCTGAACATGAAAGTTCCATCAAAGTCAACAATTACATCAGGATACTGTTAGTACATTTTATTTTTTGTGGTGCTGGGGATAGAATTCAGGGCTTCACATATGCTAATAAGCACGAGCTCTTCCACTGAGCTTCACCTGCAGCCCATGTACATTTTAAAGCCCATCTTAGAGGTTTTCTATGAGTTTTCATAATCTGAAAATACTTGTAACTCTGGAAATACTAGTGATTCACAAAGGCACAACAATTCATAAAAGACAAGGCAATGTTATTTTAAGATAGGGCATTCTAACACTTAGGTTGTAATTGCCCAGACAGATACATATTAAGTAAAATCACAATATGAATGAAAAATACAGTTTTATTGAGGGGCTAACAGGTGGTTCATTGCATGAATAACTAAACCATATTCTGTCCATGACTTAAGATAATTACTGGGTTTCGGGCTCTGTATTGCTCTCTAAGTTAACAACTAATTGTGTGGAATTAGACTACTCTTATGAACAAAATTTATTCTGGTTTTTCAGAAGTGGGGGGAAGAGAAAGACTGTTGGCTTAATTTGCCTTTTTTTCAATACTGGAAATTGAACCTAGGGCCTTGCACATGCTAGGCAAGTGCTCAACCACTGAGGTACAACTGCAGCTTGTATTTTTTTTCCTCCAAGGTTTAAGAGAAAAATAAATTGGCAAATTAGTCCTTAAAAAACACATTTTCCTTCCCCCCAAAAGTACACCATGATGCACATGAGCTCACACATTGGGAGCATGTTTTTTTCTTTCAATGGTCAAATTGACTGTGACAGGGTAGCAGAGGAAGCCAGGCTGGTCCTGCCCGCCTGGCCACCTGAGGACAGTTTCCTGCTTGCTTCTCCCATCCAGGCCAGAAGCTTAAGTAGTACATGAGTGTGGGGATAAAATTACTAGGCCTAAAATTACTAGTATATCATTATTACACATAATAATCTTTTAAATTATTGCCAATTTATTAGCTAAAGAAGAATTATTAGCAAGTGTGGCCATCTCAGTCATTACACACAAATAATTCTATTTTCTGCTTATTTATTTTTTTTGAGTCTAAGTAACTTTACTGCAGCCTTGAACAATGTCCAATAGTACGTTCTATGTAACAAAATCTAGCAACCAACAAATGAACACTACTTCTTTTTTTTTTTTTTGGTATCGAGGATCAAACTCAGGACCTCGTGCTTGCCAGGCAGGTGCTGTGCCACTGAGCCAAATCCCTGGCCCATCACTTCTTAATTCATTTCAGTTAGGGCAAGAAGTCTTGGGCAGACCTGGCAGTCTGGATATAGTGTTCTCAAACCTACAGTTTGACAAAGTTTGGGTGGGTACAGAGAGAGACATTTTTCTTTCACTGTGAAATTATATCAAAATAAAGACTTAAAAGAACAAAAGTAAAAACAAATATATTCAACAAAGCAAAATAATTTTCTTTCTGCATAATCTCTTGAACTCCACTGTTCTACTTATTTAAATTTTTTAACTCTTGGAGCCAGAGATTTAGCTCAGTGGCACTGCGGCTGCCTCTAAAGCGCAAGGTTTGAGTTCAATCCCTGGTATCAAAAAATAAAATAAAAAAAATTTGTAAACTCTTAAAAGAGATAGAGATGACTCTTGAAAATCTGTATATTCAGGCTAACCAGAGGACCTTCTCTTCCATTAACAGTACTAACATAGAGTAAATACGGAATTTAGTTAGCATTGTTTAATCAATGACCTTTCAAATCTTACAGAGTAGTAAAATGTAAAACATTTGCAGATAAGTTTAAAACCTTGTTTTCCTTTTAAATAACAGTACTGTGATATATAAAGCAGCCCTTCCTTAATAGCTGTTTTGTATTTTCAAGTCCTCTTTGTGCTTTCTTTTTAAACTGGTTCTTAATTGGAAGTTCATTTTCTGGAAAATCTGAGATTCTGCTATTTGGAGCTTGTTCTCTATGCTCTCTTCTAGAACTTTTGGGGCCAGATAAAGAGTGAAAAAACACTGATTCAAACTTCCTGGCTTCTATACATGGCTTTGTTTTGTTATTTCTTCCATCCCAATCTCAATGGGTTTCATGTGCATCTTCTCTGGGTAACACTTGTTGGAGAGGTTTTTGTTTCTTAGTAGAACCTTTCTTCTGTGCTATCACCAAAACACTCCTTTTCTTCTTCATGCAATTCTTCCTTGCTATCACTGCCATCACCAAGCAAGCTATCAGACCCTTTCTTTTTTATTTGACTTGATGTTTTCATGTTTGGGAGAGCAGGTGTCTTCTGGGACTCAGAAGGAACTACAGAATCCTTTTTTAAAGGCTTTGACAGAGAATTTGGAATGTTCCCTCTTGGCCATTTTTTTTTTTTTTTTTTGGGTACCAGGGATTGAACTCAGGTCCTTTTGTTTTTGAGGCAGGCAGCGGAACCACTGAGCTAAATCCCCGGCCCCTTTTCTTTTTGAATTATTATTATTATTTTTTTGGTACCAGGGATCAAACTCAGGACCACAAAAGCATGGTGTCATTAAGCTAAATCCGCAGCCCTCTTTTAAATTATTTATTGGTTTCTTTGCTGTATTTTGGCTTCTTTTGCTTTCTGCTCAGTGGTCTTAGTTCATTCATGCTGGGCCTTACTTTCTTCATCATCTGAAGACAAAGTGTCTTTGGAATGATTTTCTTCTGTAGTACTCTTAACTTCAGTAGCGATTTGTCTTGTATCTTAAAGGGCTGGACAGCAGCTTTTAGTGTATCTATTTTTTTCTTCAGAAGAGGGCATTTGGCTAGTCTGACAAATGCTCTTTCATTTGCAATAGAATCTGGCTTTTGCAGAGTTTTTCAAAGTTGGTATCATCACCAAGAGCAGATTTAGTTACTATATCAGGTTTCAATTCATGGCATGGATTTCTTCAAGCAATTGTGCCCATCTGATTTTTTTTTTTTTTGGTATCGGGGATTGAACTTGGGACCTTGCGCTTGTGAGGCAGGCGCCAGAACCACTGAGCTAAATCCCCAGCCTGTCTGATTTTTTAACAGTGCATCTTCTGTACCATTTTTTGACTTCAGCCTGCCAATACTCCTGACAAGTTTTCTGCTGACCAAAACTTGTATTCTCTTCACTTCTTATCTCTTCTTCACAATCTCATTATTGAGACTGAGAGTTACTGGTTGAGCCATAGTAGATCATGGAAGCTACCTGATGTGAACTGTTTCTCTTTTGGGAGATTGGAGACAGGGTCTCACTGCATAGTTCCAGCTGCCCTCAAACTCGTGGCAATTCTCCTGCCTCAGTCTCCCAAGTGCTGGGATTACAGGCATGTGCCACCACATGCCTGGCTTATATGAACTGTTTCTACTGCAGCTGCATCGCCATCCCCCAATTTTCCTGTTTTTAAAATTGAATGAGACAGGGTCTCGCTATGTAGTTCAGGCTGGCCTTGAACTCGCAGTGATCTTCCTGCCTCACCCTTCCCAGTGCTGGGATTACAGGCATGCACTACCACAGCCAGCCCCGAATTATTTAAATTACTTCAAGTTTGTTTAAATTGTTACACATAAAAACAGATCCTTGTACAATGCCAGAGTCTGGTCAGCTTACCCGGCCACTTTTCAACACCTCGCTGTTCTCACCCAGGGCTAGTTCTGCAGATGCCTTGCAAAATTCAGCCAGTCCCGCAATGGGCAGGTATTCCTTGTCCAAATTTTTTGCAGCAATCTGGGCCTCTGCCTAGACAAGAGAAAAATGCATTTATTTAGCTTCTTCCCTTTACCTGAAACTAATATGATTACTAATTAATGTTTTATAAATAAAATGTAAAGACTTTTTTTTTTGAGATGGGGTCTCACTATGTTGTCCAGGCTGCCCTTGAGCTCCTGGGCTCAAGTGATCCTGCTGCCTCAGCCTCTTGAGTAGCTAGGATTACAGGTTTGTGCCACTACACTTGCTAAGCCTTTTTTTCTTTTTTTGTGGTGCTGGAGATTGACCCCACAGCTTACACATGCTATATAAGCAAGGCAAGCATTATGAACTACATTCCCAGGCCATATCTTGTTTTTTTAATTTGAAGTTGCTGTTCAAGAAGAGTAAGTGAAATACTTGACATTTTGTATCACAGAACAAAAATACTTTTTATTATTTATATTTTATTATTGTTTTTGAAAGTAAGGTTTTATGTGGATGGGTACATAGTCTCTCTTGGCTGCCATTTAACATCAAGTGACATTCTTGGAACATATAAGAACGAGGTTTAAGAATAACACCTACAGTAGACAAAAGATCACAAAATTAAATACATAAAGGGGAAGCATTTCAAGGTGTATGCCAGTCTTAGAACTTGAAAGCGTTAATAATAATAGCCACACATTTTCAGCTTTGGGGTCAGCGGACTGGCTGTTCTTTAGTAGCTGTGTGATCTTGGACAACTTATTTGATCTTCCCAGTTCCTTCATCTATTTGTTTTTGGTGGTACTAGGAACTGAACCCACAGGTTTGTGTCACAAGCACTCTACCACTGAGCTGCATTCCCAGCACTGTTTTTGTCAGACATGGTCTTGATAAGCTGCCATGGCCTGGAACTTGCAATTCTTCTGCCTCAGTCTCCCAAGTAGCTGGGGTCAGGTGTGTGCTAATGCACTCAGCTTACCTGTTAAGTGGAGGAGTAACTATTTTTATGTCTCACAGAACTGAGGTGAAGTGTTCATGAAGTAAGGTGTAAGACTTCTTAGTTGTCTTCTACCTTGGAAAAATAGCTTGCATTTACTGAATAAATTTTTTGTCTTTTTTTTTTGGACAATGCTGGGGATCAAATATAGGACACTGTACACGCTAGGCAAGCACTCCACCACTGAGCTGTATCCCTATCCCTGAATGATTTTTAAAACTTGTTCTAAGGGGATTAGTTATACTATTTAAAGTTGTAACAGAAACTATATAACTAATAGTAACACTAACAAGAATAGAGCAAAAATAAAGAGAATGAAAAAAACTATTCTATTTTCCAGCAGGAAGGACAAACAGAACATGCCTATGTACAGGGGTTTTACTGAGGTAATCAAAAGGGAGAGATGGAAAATAACAATAGTAGCCCTCATCCACACTGCTCTTGCCAAGAGACAATGTTTAAACTTTGGGTCCTCTGTGTACCCTTGCGATGCAATTAGACACTATGCCTGCTCAGCCTTGGAAAACACTGTGATTCCAATCTTGTACTTCCACAGCCAAAGGTGTTACAGACCAGAAAACTCAGTGAGGTGGCCCAAACCGGAACCCCGGGCTGAGGAGGTCCAGCCTAGCACCCTCCTGCCACTCTCGGGAGCTCCGTTGAGCTGATCTCCCCAAGCCGGCATGAGATGGACGTAGGCTCACCTTCCTCACACTAGAGAGCACATAGGGCTTTCCGTTGTCGTCGCGATAGGCACCAACTCCCAGGTTCATCTTTTTGCTGTTGGTGTCTCTCTTGTAGGCTTCAGTGACTCCTAGGATGGGATCTGGGGGTCCCATTTCCACATGGGCCCACCAGGAGCTGAAATAAGAAACATCTTACCTCAGTCACATATGTTAGACCCCATGGCCAGAGGTCTTTCTGTCTGTGCAAGATTCAGTTCAACAATTGCTTGTGTGTTACATACCAAGTATAGAAATAGGCACCAATAAACCAGCGATATAAGACTTCAAATCATCTTGCAGAGGAGCAGAGATGAATGATTTCCACACAGATGCCATGAGATGCAGAGGGGGCTCTCAAATCACTCTGGGGAGGACAGGCTGTTCGTGCAGGCTTTATGTAGGTGTTTTGAGACAGGCCTCACTATGTAGTCCAGGAGAGTCTCAAACTCACTATATAGCCCAGACCAGCTTTGAACTTTTGGTCTTCCTATCTCAGCCTCCTGAATAATGGTTTCCTGTAGAGTTTTTTAAAGCAGTCTACACTTGACCTCAATTCCCACACAGAGTACTTCAAGTGACTGGGCAGTGAGGAGCTGAGAGTGGTAAAAGATGAGGTGAAACTACAGCAGGAAGGGCCATATGAGAATATTATTTGACCTCTTAAGGGGCTTGGATTTTATTCTGTTACCAACAGTTAAGAACATAACTTGGAAAACTCATTAAACAGTTGGGTTTCTGGGACCCACTTTGGATGTAGTGACACATGGAAAATCATTATAGCTTTTCCTTTGGTAGTGGAAGGTGATTAGGTGAGGGGGTGATGACATGGACTTGTGTTTTTTAGGGCCCACCCAATCACAGAGTGGGGTACTGAATGCAGAGTGGTAAGGGTGTGTATCCACAGAAGGGTCACTGAAGGTGCTGGTTTGTTAGCCAACAACACAAAGAGATGAGGACATGAGCAAGGGCAGGGGCAACTGGGGTAGAGTGAGAGGGAGAGAGTTGCTAGGTGTTTAGGAATTAAAAACTGACAGGAAGAACTGGTTCGGACATCTTCTTTTCATTATTACTTGGTGGGTTAAAATGTTTGAAACTATGACTTTACTTAAAAACAAAACAAAATTAAAAACTATCCTGTATCAGTGGATTTTTTTTTTTTTTGAGTCAAGGTCTGGCTATGTGTTCTAGGCTGGCTTAAACTCACTATGTAGCCCAGGTTGGCTTCAAACTCACAGCAATCCTCCTGCCTCAGCTTCCCAAAAGCTGGGATTTCAGGCGTGTGCCATCATGCCCAACATCCCGAAACATCTTGGAGGCTGTCCAGCAATGCCTAGTTGGAGTCACCTGTCTCGGCCAGGTGAACTGACTGCCGAGAAAGTGTACTTCATCTCTCCTTGGCTCCCAGAGTGAATCCCAGCTTGCAACAGAACTTTATCAGTGGTGCTGGGAACCAGACACAGGGTGTCACCCGTGCTGGGCAGGTGCTATAGCACTGAGCAACACTCCAGCCGGCCACAGAACTTTTTTGGGGGGGTACTGGGGATTGAACTTAGGACCTTGTGCTTTTGAGGCAGGTGCAGCCTGGTACCACTGAGCTAAATCCCTGGCCCTGTTTTTGTTTTTTGAGACAAGGTCTCACTATATAGTTCAGGCTGGCCTTGAACTCACAGCTATCCTCTTGCCTTAACCTCCTGAGTGTAGGGATTACAGGTATGTGCTAGCACGCCTGGCCTCTGCCATAGAACTTTTTTTTTTTTGCCTCTCTTTTGCAAAACATTTATTGGTACATTCTAGATATACATAATGATAACATTTATCATAGGGAACTTGTACCTGTACAAATTTTTTCCCCAGCTGGGGATTTAGCTCAGTGGTTTCACCACCTGCTGCGCAAGCGCAAGGACCCTGAGTTCAATCCCCGGCACACAAAAAAATAAACCCAAACAAAACAAATTTTTCCCCCATTCTCTCCCTCTTCCCTCCTTATTTACAAAAGCTTTGTTTCTATTTTTGCCTTGTCCTTCCTTTCCCCTTGCCCTCCTTGTTCCCATTTCTCATTTTTTTTTCCCATTTCCCAATATTTATTATACATTTCAGTTCTTATTTCCACTTTCGGTTTCTCACACCAGAGAAACAGTGTGGTATTTAAACATGTGTGTCCAATTTATTTCACTTAAGAGTTTGGTCTCAGGTCAGGGATTTAGCTTAGTGGTGCCGATGCTTGCCTCGCAAGCGCATGGTCCCGAGTTTGATCTCCGGTACCAAAAAAAAAAAATTATGGTCTCAAGGTGCATCCATCTAGCTAGAAATGTCTCAAGCTTATGGCAGAATAGCACTCCGTTGTACCAAAAAACATACATCTTTATCCATTTGTCAGTTGTGCCATAAGAACTTTAAATGACTGTTTCTCCTGTTTATTCACAATTCTGAACTGACTTGAGATTTTGTTTTTGGTTCACTTCTAGCCAATATGCTAGTTCCCATGGCTGGCAACAATGAGTTTAGTTTTTTACTTATTTATTTTGTGGTACTGGAGATTTAACCCTGGAGTACTGAGCTACATTCCCTAACCTTTTTTTTTTTTGGTACTGGGGATCGAACTCAGGACCTTGTGCTTGTGAGGCAGGTGGTGGAACCACGGAGCTAAATCCCTGGCCCTAAAGATTAACTGATGGGCTCGGTAGTACATACCTATAGTCCTAGCTACTTGGTTGTTGCCATCTTTTTTTTTTTTGGTACTGGGGATCAAACTCAGGACCTTGTGTTTTTGAGGCAGGTGGCGGCACCACTGAGCTAAGTCCCCAGCCCTCCCCAACCCTTTTTGAGACAGAGACTTGTTAAGTTGTTCAGGGTGGCCTTGAATCTGTGATCCTCTTGCCTCAACCTCCTGAGTAGCTGGGATTACAGACGTGCACCACTGTGTTCCCTTGAGTTTGGTTTTATGGTTTAGCTATCTAGTGATTTCTGTAGAAGGATGGTAGAGATCTATTCTCTGTTGGGTGAGCGATTACAGAGAATTTGGCTTGGCAAATGTTCTTATTTGCTTGTCTTTATTTGGTGCTTAAATCAATTGAGATCTTTGTAGCTCAAAAAAAAAAAAATCAAGGGGCGGGGGATTTAGCTCAGTGGTTCTGCTGCCTCGCAGGTGCAGGATCCCGAGTTGGATCCCCCAAACCAAAAAAAAAAAAAAAAAAAAAAATCAAACTGAGTTTTTTGTTTTGCTTACTCCGGACCTGTGGCTAAAGGTGTAGGTCTGGAGAGTTGTAACCTCATTATGTGTCAGTAATTTGAAAAGGCTTTAAAAAATCCTGAGTGCCTTTTCTGTGTGTGTGATTCTATGATTTTATTTGATAATCAGTTAGTTCTCTTTCATACACGACTATCTGTAGATTTCTGAAAATGGTAAGTTGTGACTAGTACATAGGTACCCAAAGTAAAGAGCTTGTCTAGTGAATGTTCATCTTGACTGTACACAGCTACGGCATGGGACATCCCTTATGCCTGTGACACAGACAGCTTTGTTGAGCCTGGGGTCAATGTGTACTCCTGGAGTCCCCAAGGGGCAGACTTCCTGAGCCTGGTATGTTCTCAGGGCACTGCCTTGCTGACGTCTGTCTGAGTGGCCTTTCTTCTGTGCTGGAGCCATTCTGCCAGGCCCATAGCAGAAAGGAAGAGTGGGAGAGATTGTGGGAAAGGGAAGGCAGTGGTCTCTGCTCTCTAATAACTATGAAAGAAGCTAAGATGTGCTAACATTTTGACAAAGTCTGCCCAATCTCAATGGGCTGGTTTTGCTGGTTTAGTGATTAATGACTTCACCTACAACAAGGAAGGTCATCTCTTTTATCTTCGGTGCAGTCAGCCTACACAGGCAGTAGAGCTGCTGTGATTTTACTAGAATACTTTTCTATGCTTGATGTTGACTCTTACAGCCTTGAATATTTACACAAAACCAACAGCCAGGCATGGTGGCGCACACACCCCAATAATCCTGACACTTGGGAGGCTGAAGAAGAGGGACTGCAGAGAGTCCGAGGCCCATCAGAGGTACACAGTGAGTCCAAGGCTAGCCTGAACTACACCATGAGGCCCAGTTTCAAAAAAAAAACAACCAAACAAACAAAAAGCAAAACCCAGAAAAGAACCCTAAATGAAACAAACAAAAAAGATTTCTCATACATTAAAGAGCTAAGGTTCATTACAACCATGTTTTATACATATATATTTTTTCTTTGTGAGGTACTGGGGATAGAACCTAGGACCTCACACATGTGATGCAAGTGCTCTACCTCCACGCTACTTCTCAGAGCTTTTTTATTTTTAGACAGAGTTTTGCTAAATTGTCCAGTTTGGCCTTGAACTTGCAATCCTTCTACTTTAGCTTCCTAAGTAGTTGGGATTATATGGCACAATTATGTGTTTAATTTTGATGCTTTATTGTCATTTTGGTTAAATAGGTAACCAGTAATTGTTTTGACTCACTAACAATCTTATTTAATCAAGTGACCAAATATCACCTAACAACTTTTTCTTGTGAATTTTTTAATAAGTACGCTTGTAGTACATAATGTTTCCACTCCTTGTGAGGAATTGGTACATGTATGTAATATACCATTATGGCTTGTGTCTAGATGTCCCCCCAAAGCCTCATGCACTCCTAGGTGGGAGTTTTGGGAGGTGGCTGAATCTAGGGTGTGTAATGCTGGGATGAAGTGTGTTAATACTGGAATTAAGGATGTGTGATTACTAAAGGACAGTAGTTCACTGATTGGGCTAGCACAGTTCTGGGTGTGGATAATGGGAAGGCCCACCATGGGAGGGGGTGACACCACCAGAAAGGCGGGTAGCCTGGAAGGGATAAAAGGGAGTGGCTCCTGCTGCTACTGCTTGCTTGCTGCTGTGCTGTCTCTGCATACCCTGCCATGGACTGTTTCTCCTCTGTGATGCCCCTCTGCATGCCACCCTGCCTTGGAGCCAGCTGATTCTGGACTGAAACCTCTACAAACTGTGAGCTGAAATAAACCTTTCCTCCTTTAACTAGGCATTGGGTATTTTGTCTCAGGAATGAAAAAAAGGACACATATCTTAGTATCTTTTTTTCATTCCCCTTCCCTTCCCTTCCTCCCCTCTTCATCCATC